ATATATATATATATGAAGATAAAATAAGCCTCAAAGTTAAGTTTGAAATTAAATTTTAAAAAAATGACAATCACAAAAGACCAAAACGCAACAATGGGCCATGTGCAATAACAACTTTTACCAAAACAACTCGGGGTATTTCAAAGTGATGTTTGCAGGACACTATACTGATTTGATCTTACAGGAGAGTTTTAGGCTTTACCAGACAAACAAGTACCGGTAGGTCAAATAAAGAGAAATGGATCAAACTATGCATTAATTTTTCAATTTAAATGCGTAAAGCCCGCTTATCCCACTAACCTCCTAGTTTACGACGAACAAAATTTAGAGGATATTTCGAAGTGAGTGGCGCCAGTTTTTGCCGGACCTCGCAGGACCCCTTGTGAGAGACGCTCAAAAACACACACAATTCCTCATAAAAATATCCAATGTAATTTCTATGGAGTATCAGACTGTAAAGATCGATTAAGCTTCTAAATAAGCATTTTGCCCTACACCACTCTGGAGATTCTGAGCTGCTGCAACACACTTGTTTTCCCATTGGGTAAAATCGACACTAAAACTCCAGCGATGACATCGCTCTTTTCCCCACCATCAAGTAGATCTTAGCGCTACTCACTTTTGTGATGATATTTATAAACAAGCAAAAAATAAGATCATCAATAAGCAAGAAATATTTCTTTTTTTGGCAAAATATTGAATCAATCTATATGGCATATTACTGTGTCCTATAATATTGTAGCCAGCAGGGGGCGACGGCCACTGTACATCCAATAGTTTACAGGTTTATGAAGTAAAACAAATTCGGAGATTATCTGTGGCCCGTTAAATCAACTCAAAAATTAATTTGGCCCTTAAAATAAATAAATAATAAAGAACCAGGGTTCTATTGTGACCGAAGCCTTATTATGCATCTGAGGTCAAACTCTGTTTGCTATTAGCATGTATTTAGAGTACCGCTACTGACTCACCTTTCATTATTGCTAATGCTCAGGGTTCATGCACACTTTGAAGTGGGAATTTATTTGAGTATTTTTCAAGACCTTAAACTTACATAGAAAATGACTTTCAGTTTTTGAAATATTTTAAAAATGTGGCAGAACAAATGACTTGCAATTGTTATTTTCCATTGTGTTGTTGATTGTAATTTAAACATATTGAGGCCCAATTTGTTTTGAAAAACCACCTGGAAAACCATATCTTTACTCATAATAAAAGCTTTTAAGTTAGTCAACTTGATTTTCCCTATTGTAAGTGAATCATCTTGTTATGCCTCACTTGTTTTTTAGAATGCCTTTTCCAGATTTTAATTTGTGGTTATTGGGAAGAAAAAGTGGCAGTGGTTTTAATAATCGATGTAATTATTTTTGTTTATTTCTCTATCTGAAATACCAAAATTAGTCAGTCATGATATGGTGAAAGAAAAATTGTTGTCTTCATTGTTAATTTAAGCTCAGTAAAGTTCATGTGCATGACTGGTAAAGTGATATAACATTGTCGTTTGTTCAATTTTCCAGATGCCCTTCAGTCAGGCTGTTATTGCAGATTATCTTTTATTGAACCTGCCTCTTGCCAGTAATACCTCAAACAAAATTTTATTCTTTACCTTTTATCCATGCTGGCGGGTAGGATACCCACCCGGCATCACTATGAAATATCTTTTGAAAATATTCTGATGTATTTTCTCAGAATTTAAATAATTATAAAGAATTTATCAGTTTGATCCCTGAACTTTTCAACATCACCACATACTTTTGTTATGACAAGGATGTCCTCAATCACTTTTTACCTCACACACTTACAATATTATGATTCATTGATCAAAATTTTATTTTGAATATCTACCTAGATGCTTTAGTAGCAGGGCTCTCAAATTTCCTGCACTCTACAAAGCAATAATCACCCGGAATATAACCCTTCTCAAGATTCTAGATTCAAAACATTTATCCATCCTCAAAAAGTTAAATATCATTAAGTCTCCCACAAATTCACAATATGCATGTTTTACAAGTTTTTATTACTGTATTATTAATTTGCTCCTGGAAGTCAGTGCTACAGTAAGTTTTCACCATGCAAAGCAAAATGTAATTAGATGTGTTTAAAAAGCTCATTTAAACAGATCTCCCAAATTATGACTTGGGACCCTAAATTAAGTAACAAAAAGCCAACTATTAAGCCAACATCTATTACCAACATGTTTGCACTGCCAGAATGGCTGAAAACAACTAAAGATCACCTAAAATAAACGGCCACCTTTCTTTGGCCCCAAATGTACATCTATCTTTTATCTTCATGATAATAATTGTTCTAAATTAAAGATTAAACTGCTAGAGACCATGAAAACTGAGGTCCCAAATGTGGTCTTTTATTGGCGGGAGACCTGTATTTTCAAAGAATACTCATCCTATATACAATAATTAAGTTTTTTTTTCGAATATTTATTCTATTTTTCACCCTGTTGGCCTCAGGTGGGCCCTATTTTCAGCCTTTTTCTTCACTTGGTGATTCTCTATGGCCCACCAGAACAAACTGTTGGTTTAATAGGCTTACCTTGTTAAAATTTTATTAAAGAAGAAGCAGTGGAGATAAAGGAGAAAGGGAGAACAACTGGTGGAAACAGGAGACATGAGGGAAGCAGGGAGGGGTAAAGAAAAAGTGAACAGAAAAGGAAAGCAGAGGACCATAGCAGACAAGGAATGAAGAAAATTCAGATGAGAACAGGGGATGGAAGCATTGTGGATTTCAATGTTGAATTTCATTATGTCATTTTGTATAATTTTTTAGTATTTTTGATATCAAATCACACATTTTTCTATAATACATAATAAATTAAATTTTTCATTTCTTTGTTTTGCTAGCTGGCCATATTGGGACACTTCCACGGAAAAAATCACAGGCAGCACACATTAATAAAACCAATCGGTACAGGTGTGTAGAATGCATAATTATAACATATATATATATATTTTCATATATTATTTAAGGCGTCACCTATCCTGCAATGGATCCTTGAGTTTCAACCAAAATCTGTTTATTATTATACAAAGTTTCCTAATCTTTTACTTTCTGAAAAAACCTTGGTGTCCAGTTGTTATGATGATTGATTGTCATTTTCATCATTTAAAAAAAAAAATATTTTGACACAGGCCTGTTTTAAAAACATGCCTGTGTTTTGTGTCAAAACAATTTGAAATTGAATTGATTAGTATTACTAATAATTAGTTTTAGTTTAGTTTTAGTTTGTTTTGTTATTTTATCTTCTAATCTTGAGTGGTCTGCTGACTTAGGAGCAAATTCTATAATAAAAAGAGCATTCCATTACAGTGACAAAGCATAGGCCTACTAATGCATTATCTTCAATAAATATGTCATGGTTTATTACATATATTCTAATTTTATTTCAGTAGGGAATGTCTCAAGTCCCTTTCAGTGATAAATTGTATCATAAGATTTACGATATACTCAAATATTGAATGAATAAATAATAATAATAATAGTAGCATCATTTTAAGGCGCACATAATTGTGAATGGTGACTTAAGTGTACTTATTATGATGATTCCAAAAAAGGGATTTTTAATTTATGGGATTTATGATTAAAGGTGTACTGTGTTAATTAGTTCTAACCAACTAACCAGGGTTATACCATTTTTAAGGGAGTTTTTAAAATAGAGTTTTTGTTCATATAGTCAGCCATGGGCCTTATAGTATGGACTGGCTAAATATAGGGTACATAAAAGGACGTCTTGAACAAAATTGAAATAATCTCAATGTTCTGTGCTTAACAAAAATATAGTACTTTAACCAAACTGTACTAAAATATCCATCATAGCAAATTGTTTTATATAAGTCATACAACCAGAGTACTGGGTATATTATATTTTTATGTGGCACCAGAGTGAACAAATACAAATTTTCAAAGTTGCCTTGTATCTTTCACAAAGATTTATGTTGGAAAACACATGGTCTTTGTAATAAAGCGAACAGTTGGCCGAGAGGTGTTTTTCTTGTCTTTTGTGATGAGACACCAGATCAAACCCGGCTTTAACTGGAGTCCAATCACTCGGCTTCTTGAATAATCCTCATATTGAATATTAAAGGGGCTAAGGACTATGTTTGTATCTGTTGCATAAAATTCTGTACAGCCACATTGTTTGTGCATAAAACTGTACCTGCCACATTTTTGTACGTATAATCATTCACTAAATTGTCCTATGATTTGTCACCACCCACACCTGGGATAATAGAGTAATACTTCATAATGTATAAAAATATTTCAAATTTACATTATGGACTAAAGTATTATATGTGCGGGAGTAGTATTATAAATGTGGCCATGCTCGCTCTTTTTTTCTGAGCTTATATTCCAGTGTAAAGATGTTAATGTCTATGAACCAAATTACTTCCATGTTGTATTTTGTTTTATGTCTTTAAAAAAAAATTGAATATAATAACACTGTACAAATCATACTGTTGAAATCAGAAAATTGTGAAGCGCTAGGCCAAATAAAAAAAATTACTAGTTACTCGTCCTCTTGCACATCTATTTTCTCTGCCTCACCAGATATTTTATTTATTTTTTTTTTTAATTCCCTTTATTTTACGAAATGCATGAAAATCTGGTTAACTCATATCAGTAAAATTCCTCTCTTGGTCGTTCGTGGTTGGAGATACATATGGTATGAATCATGTCTAGTGGTTTTTTTTATTTGCTTTTAATGCGTTTCTTGGTGAAATTGAGAAAGTGTCTCCCATCGACCATCTTGGATTTGCCATCTCAGAGATAAAAAAAAAAAGTGCCCTCTTTCTCTTTTTTTTTCAAAATATTAGGACGAGCAACTACTTTTTTTTTAACTTGGCCTAATAGATTTTTCATAATTCATCCTTGTAGAATTGTATTTTTAAAGATGTTTTTTTTATGTTTCCTAATAGCATTCAAGAAGAATCATCAAAAGTAAGTCTAGTTTTTACTGAACAAATGTAGTTTTTGTGCTGGAACTTTACCATAGCAGTATTATGCTCTGGTTATCAATAAAAGACTATGCAAGATTAGGCTATATAAAAAAATAAGTTAGTTGATCATCCATTTTTCCAATAAGAAAAAAAGGAAGAGAACTTTTTTATTCTGTACTTTGTTTTTTCTCTGGATGGGAGCCAACTATATTTGATGGCCGATGTTTCCTTGTAATTTCAAATAGTCATCGGCTACAACAAAACAATTTCACACTCCATTGGAGTGCTAGACTATCATGTCTGAAGAAAATGATTGAAATATGAAAGAATGAATAACATTTTCACAGACTATATACACCAAAAATCAAAATTTTAATAATCTAGAAAAAGATCTCTTAAACAGTGTATGTTAGAGTGCCAGACTACATAGAATGGATATGATGGTGTAAAATAATATGCAGTTTAAATCCATGATAATAGCATGACAATGATAATGCAAATGGTGTTTGAATATTAACGTTAGCAATTTTAATGAAAAAGACAATGTTTATACTTGGCATCATTTCTGACCATCAAGTCACAGCACAAAAGGATATATTATTGCAATGTATTTATAAATTTGTCCACAGTTTTATAGACCAACTCCCAGCAAAATGGATTCTCGGCAAAATGAGCCCACGCCTGATCAACTAAAAAAGGATCTTGAGATGGAGTTGAACCTACCTCATGATGACATACGAAGCCATGCATGGTTTCACGGTGGCATTAGCAGAGAAATTGCAGTGAAAAGTCTCAAACAGGATGGGGAGTTCCTTGTGAGAGACTCAATCTCCAAACAAGGCAGTTATGTATTAGGTGTGATGTGGCATAATGAAGTACTTCATTATGTTATTAATAAGACTATTCAACAGGAATATACACCATATGCCAAGATACAATATCAACTGGAGAATAATGTTTTTGATTCCGTCCCAGCACTCATCATGTTTTATCATGGAAAAAAACCAATATCACGGACATCAAATGCAATCATTCGGATGCCTGTCAATCGGACATTACCTCTTAGTTACACAGATAGTAAATATGCTGAAACAAATCTTAAACAGACTGATGCACCTGTGTATGGACCACTTCCAACTAAGGTCATCACGCCACGTATGAGTGACCTTCCAGAGAGGTTCCAGCTTCATAAGCAGTTATCAAAAGATGAGTCTGAGACCTATTATGACACACCAATTGGAAGTCGGTCAAAAATTATAGATCCTCCAAACCAGGATTTATATAGCTACCCCAACAAAACAAGAACATGTGAAATCATGAGTCCAAAGGAAATGGATGCAAACAACTCTGATATTAAAACAGATCAAAATTTTTCTTACTTGCACGAAAAACCAGTCCGGGATGATGGCATCACAGATCACAGCAATATAGAAAAGTTGAAAGATGATTCAAGTCAACTTGTTTATGAATCATTTTCCAGAAATAGGTTCCTCTCTGAAACTGGTGAGCCAGACTCTGAGGCACAAGAACCACTGACGGTCCATCCCACAGGCATAGTGCAACACCCAAGACTACCGACCAATCAAATGTGTTCTCAATTCCATCCATCAGATTTCAAATGCAATATCTTGCCAGAAAACCATAGAATTCTAGATATTCAAGTGTTGAGTAAAGTTCAAGACTTTCTCATTAATGTCAATCCTTCTATTTTAGCGCAGCATATTCTAAGCTTAGATGTCGAGGTAAGAAACTGCAGACAAAGAGCATTTCCAGTAATTTTTTGAAAGTAGTAGTAGTATACAGGTATACTGATTTGGGATTTAAAGCCCCATTCCTAGCAAAAAAAAAAAAAATTTCCTGAAAGTAAAGGCACATTCAGAGGTTATAGATACCATCTGCTGGCCAACTGGTTTTCGTGAATACTTTATGTACACAAAAACCAGATGTCTAACTGGTTTTCGTGTAGACTTTATATACACTAAAACCAGTTGACCAGCAGATGCTATCTATAACCTCTGCTGGCCTACTGGTTTTCGTGTAAACTTTATAAATAGCATCCGATGTAGGCAAGATTTTTTTTTGTAATTTGTTTTTCGCCAACTCATCAGATTCTCCATTATTTTTTTTATCAAGCCCACCAATGCCACGAACTCTCATAATATTAAAAATATCCTAATTTATCCCTCATTAAATAATCTGATTTACTGTGTACATTCCGGTACGATTTTGCGATAAATAAAATGCGCTCTCCCTATAGATGTTCTTGTACCTCAAACCGCACACACTGTAGTCGTTCACCTGACATTATGTTCATTTCATTCTAAAAACTTTCTGTCTGAGTTGGTTTTAAGTTTGAAATAATTAAAATAAATTATTCTATTTCATAAGTGCCAATACTAGCAATTGAAAAATATGTCAGCTGTTTGTATGGCTAATAACTGAAAACCTAAAATGGAGTTAAGGCTAGGCCTAACCTAACACTGTTGCTAGACTAATTTTTCCGGCTTTTTTGTGTCCACATACTTGCTTCAGCCAGAGCTGTAGACAGTTTCTAGCTAGCATGTCATAGTATTAAAATGCCTGTAAATCAGTGAAAACTGATAATTCTACTGATTGTAATATTTTGCAATTAAAAGGAAAAGTTTGTAGCCTGTAATAATTTGATAGATATGACTGAAATCATGTCTATAAATACAGAATCATTAATATTTTTTAACCAATTAACATTTGTTTTAAAAAAAAGGAAGTTTCTGTGGAATAGAATTTCCTAAAGCCAAATTGATTGCTATCTAACAAATAAACGTACTGTATTTATAAAAATGTGTATGTAGAACTTTTACAATGTAATTTCTTGCACATAACATAATATACTGAAAGCAGTCTGTAATTATTTACGTCACATCTATTACCGTTTTTGCGTAGCAATACACGGGTGTAAAACGTTAGTATATCTTTAATCAGTAGGAACAGTGAGCAGAACATTTTTATTTAAAAACAAATTCTTATTTGTGAAATGACTCTTTTAATGTTGTAGTTACTTCAGATGTTATCTATACCAGATGGATGTTTATCAGGCCTGGAGCTTCTAACTCTTCCCCAAGGATGCTATTTAAGGAATGACCTGCAAGAAAGGTACTGTAAATTAAACTCATGTGCAACCAGGACCTACTAAAGAGTACAAAATAATTTTGTTTTATTAACTTATTGTACTGTTGCAGTAATTTAGGACAGTGTTACACAACCTGTGATTAGTGGACCACTTGTTGGCATGGCCGCTGAAATTTATTGGTGGTCCGTCAAATGTGACGAAATGTGAAATGTGAGTCTGTCAGTGGTCGAGGTGGTCTATAAATCCATGTTTGAATTGATAAATTGCATAAAATAATTTGATTTAGGTGAATGTAATGCAAGACAAATATGAAAACATGTTAATTTATATTTATTCTTAAATAGAATGAATTGCCTCAGGTTATGGTGTGCAGTAACTATTGTGTACTGTATGGAGATAGAGAAGAGAGTTAATCTATTACATGCTTGGATCCAGGTTGCAGAAGCAACAATATTTAAAATGGGTGACTTGTTTGCTTTTGAAGCAATCATGGAAGGCCTAGCTTCTAAACAGGTTAGTCGGTCTAAAACGAAAGGGGTAGCCATAACTGAGATGAATGGTATAACGCCTATGCGCTCTCGTGCGGCTGACTCTGATAGGGTTCATGGGGAGAGTTTTTATGCCTTAGTATGGCCCGAAATTGTGCTTTTAGACCACAACATTAGGGATTGACAATCAAAATAACGTTTTTAATAGGCAAATTATTATTTCCTCCTCCCCCACTGCCACTGATATTATATATCATATTATATATATTTCAATATTAACATTCAGAATACAATGACAAACATTAAAAAAAAAAAAGCAAACCTAAACTAAAGAGGGCCATGGCCTCAGCATTACACCGCTGCTGAGATGGATTTAACAGTGACAAAAGAAGTGATTATAATGAAAAATTGTATTTACTTTTTAAGATGGTGATGGTTTCTCCCATAAAACCTACCTTTCTTGAGCCGCTGCTGCCAATCCCTACCCTGCTCGGTGTAGTGCTTCACATGTCAGATGTCCCCCCAAAACCACATTTTTTTTTTATGGTGATGGTGATTACAATAGCAATGAAGAAAGATAATAATTGCAATGATCATTAATTAATGGTGAATATTAGACATCTGCTGCACACCCCCTCCTTGAATCCACTATTTAACAATTTAACATTCATTCATTGCTTTATTTTTTAAGGTTCGAGATTTGCGATTGACTTGGGAACTTTTAAGGAAATCGTATACAAGCAGTGCTCTACTCCATGATACTAAACTCCGTTCTCATTTCAAGGAACATCAACAGGGGAAGACTGTGTTAACTTTATCTCAGACCAGTATTCCAGCCATAATGCCTATTGTCCAACTCCTAGAAATGGACTGGACATCTCTTACCAGCAGGGACTGGCATCAACCAATCAACAAAGAGGTCACAGATAATCTGCCTAAAGATGGATTGTGGGTAGATTCTACAGATAGCTTTGGTTTAGAGGTGTTTAAACGTCATCTGTCTTTAGTTCGTAACATAATCAGCAAAACAACAACATACCAACTTAATGCGAACTCCAAGTTACAGAGCTTCATGCCCGAGAAGGACATTCTTGACAGCTTTCGTACAGAGCTACACATGGTCATTTTGTGGGGTCAAAAGGGTTTACACAGTAATGGAAAAGACCGCGTCATGAAATATGAACAGATGCTGAATTTGCTTGCAACTAAAGCTGAGCCAAGTATCTGAGATAACATCAACATATTTTACCAATGACCTAAACTTCTAGCGATGATGAAGTGTTATTTTATAACATTTTAATTACGACTGACTTTCTCAGAAATTTATTATCCTACATTTTCATGTGCTTAGCAAGATTATAAAAAAATAATTCACTTTTGTACAATACGATACAATAATTTATCACAACTGTATAAATACAAAATTGTCAGTTTTGAGATTGATTCTCTTACATACTATTATATATTAATGAATGATTCTTTATCCAGTAATAGGACTTTTTCAATCTATGTGACTTTGTTACTCTTTGGTTTGGCAAGTCATGCTGATATGAACATAACAAAAGTATGATCTGTGGCATTAGAGCGCTTCCTGCTTTTGTATATTGCTATACTGTAAACCTTGAATAGAAGCACTGGGCTTCTGTTTTTCAGGTGCCTTGGATGGGCTTCCCTTTGAGATGGGCCTTTTTTCAAGATGGGCTTCTTTTCAAGATTACTTTTTCAAACTAAAGAGGAGGACTTCTTTTCGAAATGAATGCTGTAAATTTTGGAATTGCTACTATACAATATTTTTCAACTGTGGAATTCAAAATATTTTAAAATTTTAACCATGCTAGTGCAATGAAATAATATGGGTACCGACACGCTATTATAATTATCAAAGATAACGTCAATATCAATGTAAGTACTATCTTGAAAGAAGCCCCATACTATCTTTATCCATGGGCTTCTTTTGCAAATTGAAGAGGGGGCTCCTAGTCTAGATGGGCTTCTTCTCGATGTTAAGGTCATGGTGCATCTATTTAAGGTTTTATGGTATATCAACATAGGATATTCAAGAGTACTGTATATTTGCAAGTGTATGTATCTGTTCTTCATGTGTGTTGATGTGTGTGATAAAGCTATTATAGTACATTCTTTTTTTAGATTTATTTTTAAACTGCAGGCCAATGCACTTTTTTTGTCATTGAAATCAGTATATCAGGCATTAATAATAATTCAGTGATTTGTAGAAGTGACAAAAAAAACACATTTTAATGCAATCTGGCAGTTGTCCATAAGTAAAGCTTGGTTTACACTACTATTATCTTATTCCCAAAAGAAAAGTTGAGCTGCATGAGAATGTGATATTGGTATCTAGCACCCACAGTATGATTTCTGTTTTTATTGAATGGCTGTGTGAATGGGTTTAAGAATCATGTAGGCTTAAAAACACCTGCCTTCCTATTGGTTGAGGTTAAGTTTGTCAATACTCCTAATAAAGCTTAGGCCAGGAGGCCTGTGGCAATGTAGTTATTAAACCCTTCATTCCTCTTGATTGGTTATGCAGGCTAGGCCTACAGTTGCTTACTGCTTTTATCAGCTTGGTCAATGGTTGAATTACATTTTTTTAAGCAAAAGTTCTTGTGTATGTAGTTGCATCATTATTATCATTATGTCGAGTGGTTCACACTGACTAGTAGTACCTGGTAGTACTGACATAGGTGCATTAAAATTGCTTGCTTCATAATGAGTAATCACACACATAATATCCACTTTTTCTAAGCCTTTTACTTATTTCAAAAACTAAATTCGAGAGTGGTTTCCAGTTTATAGTGTTATATATTATTAGGTATATACTGCCACTAACAACAATAAAGAATAATGTTTTACAGATGTTTGACTACCATATGAAAATCATTAAATATGCTACTAGAAATTTAAGAATATTTCAAAATCTTCATTGGCAAGTAAAAAGCTTTTTAGTTTTCAGTAGAAAAATTGAAATATATGTAGTCTAAAGAAATTTATTTGGTATCCGACAAGTTTGCTGAATTCCAGATTGCCATCTCCACTTTGCCAAAACCCAGTTTTCCGAATGCCATTTTACCAACCCAAAATTATAAAACCCACTACCGTCTAAAACAGTTTGTTGAATGTCATATTCACTGTCATGGGTAGAATATAGTACAAAGAATAGCATGTGCTTTGGTCATTAGAGTATCTAGGATTATTGATATGGGGACAGTGGGGGCAGATGGGGCCATGAAGTTTGAGTGAGCGGGCTTGAGCCTGGCCAGCTGGTAAAATGAGGTAATTTTTAGCAAAAACTGCAATAAAGCATGTAAATCACTGACAAATGGTAGAATAGTGGAATAAGAGGTAACAATGTATTCAGAAGTATAAACATGTGACAAAGTCATGGCATAAATTACAACCGAATAGAGCGATGGTAAAATAGAAAAAAAGAAAGTGATAAAATGAAAACAGGTTGGGTAATGGTGGCAATTGAAATATGGGTGGTAGTTAGCGTACCATTGTGAATTTTATTGCTGCAATTGTTATGTTGCTTTTAATTCACTTTTGGCAAAATGAGTTTCAGCAAACTGGATTCTGCAAACTGATCACTGGATTTGAGTTTTTCTTTCTATAAAATTTCTTTGTAGAATGAATTATTCAGCAAACTGGTGTTTCACAATCGGGCCCATTCATTTGTTCAAGGTGGCCATATATTCTTAGTTCAAAATTCACAGAGCTGTACTAATTCTAAATATAAGTGATAGCCAACACTCTAAAAAATTGAATATATCCATTTGCCAAGACTGTTCCATAGTGTTTTTGGGGGCAATAATTTGGATGTCTGAACTAAAAAAATGAAACATTTAGCAAAACCATATGTGACTACTATTTTTTTTTGACAATGAATGAATGAATCTTTTTTGTTACAATATAGTTGAATATTATTTTAGCATATTATAGCATGCTATATTTTTAACCGGTATTTGTATGAGAAGTTTAAAATGGAACAAACTACTGGTAGTTTGAATTTCACTGCATACCCATCTGCTTAATGTAATTACCACTCGTTTTACTCTTTTTTGAATTAAAAGCAAATTAGATAATTAGGTGAGAAGGGGATACTGAAGTTTGAATTAAATTGCAATAGTGCAAGAGCATAATTATGTGTTGTCTTTGTTTATTTTTTGACATATACCGAATTTACTGTAGAATATACATACGGTATACATGTATTTCATAGTTGCTACATCAGGGGCTGATCTAGAGATCCACAATTCACTGGGGAGAAAAAAAAATCCTATGTATTTGTTACATATTAGTAGATTCTAAAATCGATTAATTAAGCCTTTGAATATAGTAATAGCTGTGCTCTTAAACCACAATATTAGGAACTAAAACTACAATAATTTTAGGGGCAGATCCAGAGTTTTTAAAATGGGTCAGGACAGCTGTTTCAGAATAGATGAGTAGAGTATCACAAATCATTAATATGCATTGAAATTTTTAAAATTTAGTGGCAAAACAGTGAGGGGGGCATTCTGACCCTGAACTTCCTGTTCCTGTTAATTGAGTAAATTCCTTCTAACTTTAGGTGGCCCCTAGGTTAGGGCCATCAAGGGTCTCCGGTCAAAGGCCTGTAAAAATTACTAATTTTTCTTTGTAATTTTGTATAATTCTTCCAGAGCGAAACACCCACAGATGGTTCAAGGAGGCGGATGCAGGATTTGGCGGTGGGGGGTACACAGGTGCCCACACTAGCTCAGTCCCACCATGATTGGGGCTGAGGTGAGAAAATTTTGAGAATATGGACCTGTAGGTAACCGGAAATTGCACTCTCATACTTTAAAAATCTTACCGGTACTATGTTCATAATGATAAAAATAATATACAAAAATACAATGCAACAATAATTATTCTTCTTAAAACAATTTAGTGGGGAGAGGGTGCGAAAGCACCGTCTGCACCCCTCTGCATCCATGCCAGGGATGCTAGAGTCTGGTCGGCATCAGTGGTCCAAAAAAATTGAGCGATTTCGTTTATTTTATAATATATAACACCTCTGGAGTGAGGGATGCTAGAGTCTGGTCGGCATCAATGGTCCACCAAAAAAAATTGAGCGGTTTCTTTTATTTTATAATATATAACACCTCTGAAGTGGAACAAGCAAGCAAGCAATGCAGGTGCTAATGGTGTGGAACCAGGGCCTCTGGGTATATGGGCCAAAGGATAAAGTAAACAAAACAACTCATTATGTCATGACACCTCACATAACAATAATAATAATATGTTAGACTTATAATAGCGCTTAATGCCAATGAGGCCTCCAAGCTCTCTACATTATTACATCCTGTCATTGGCACATATGGAAAAAAGACTCTGTGCCATGGTTATAATTCTATTAACAAATTTATTGCATGCTGTAAAAACAATTTCTTAGAACTAAATGTTAAAAAAACCAAAGAAGTTGTAATCGATTTTTGTAAGAAGGATAAAACAGGGGTGCCATATGTATTAATAATGAATTAGTTGAACAAGTCTTCACGATGAATATCTTGGAGTTATTTCTAATAACACTCTCTAGGGGGGATGTGTTGATTATATCATTAAAAAACTCTCATATGTGTTGCTTACATAAACTTATATGCTTCAATGTCAATAATGATATCTTGCTTATATTCTTAATTCTGTTATCTTTGGTGCACTGAGCTACTGTTCAGTGTGCTGGGGAGGGAATATTCTGAAAGGTGACATGGATAGACTTAATCGTATCATTGATAAGGCTGGAAGAATTACTGGGGAATTGGTGCCTTCTGTAGACTCTGTTTACCGTAATAAGGTGATGACGAAGTTTGCTATCTTCTTCTCTCCATTCCGTAATTGTATCTAATTTTATTGAACAGAGTGGGAGACTCAGGTCGTCATTTGCGCGCACAAATCGATATCGTTACTCTTTTCATCCCTAGAGGATTCGGATTCTACAATGAAAATTTTCAAAGTTAGTTGTTTGGTTATCCTTTTCTTCAGTAGTTTAATTTTTGTGTAGTTTCGTAAAGTAATAGTCTTACTGTACAAATGTGAACTAGGTACCATCACGAACATGTAAATTTCCTGAGAAGGATGAAATAAAGTTTTTCGTACCTGTATGTTGCAGCTATAATCAATGCATTTTGCCAGGTACCCACTTGTACTCCTGGGTGGAAAGAGACAACCATACTCTAGGTAAAGTGCCTTGCCCAAAGGACACATGTGAAATGCACAGTAAGTGGTTCAACCTTCGACCTCTACCGTAAAACTTCGAGTTGAAGCCCTGGGCTGCTTTTCAAGGCTACTTTTGCAAAGTAGAGAGGGAGGCTTCTTTTCAAAATGAATGCTGTAAATTTTGTGAATTTATACTATAAAACTACTACAAAGGCCACTGTAACATCAATCTGTATCATAGAGTGTATTTAACTGGCATTACATCACCTAAACTACTGTATAAACTAAACATGTTTTTAATTAATTTTGTTTTTTGAAATTCATATACAGTGTATGTACTGTACAATTTTGAAAAGAAGGCATGAGCTTCTTATCGAGCTAATTTTGCAAACCAAAGAAGTGGGGGGTGCTTCATCTCGAGATTAAGCCCACTGGGCTTCAATTTAAGGTTTTACGGTACATTTAGAAGCAGAACTGCTACCGCTGCGTCAAACCAATCCTACATAAGTGACATTGGATGATTTAAGGAACCACATACAAAGTTTTTAATCATTGATATATTTTAATCAATTGTTAAGAAAATATGCTCAATATTTTATTCAATTAATCAATGAAATAATTAAAATCAGTAAATAATCAATGTACAGTACTTCTTAATAACATACTATTAAACATTCAATCTGGTAGTAAACAGCTTGAGTGGCAATTACTATACCAAGCTATCAATATATTTTCTTGTTACAATTTTTATACATTTTTTTGTTATTGATAAATTCAGAGTAGTTGCTAAGTGTCGGCTGCTACTTCAACAACAAAATGTTAAGATGCATTTACCTTTATCGAACAACGCAACAGCTTCCGCATTGCACATAAAATCAATTATTTGTTTAACAATAGAAAATACTGGTGGTTATTATTATATAATAATTACCCCTGGTCATAGATCAAGATGCTTTAAAACCTTGGGTTCTACAATTTCAGTAGCATGCAACCTAACCAGGTCCCCATTTGCACAATTAATCTAGTCTGGAATTGGCAGCATATAAATCAGAGTTATTTACTATGTATCAATATTTAAGTCATGAGTGGATAGAAACAATACATATGAAGTGGCTTACTCACAAACAAGAAACCAATCTCGGACTTGAAACCCCAACCTCAACTGGAAAGCAGGAGCCTTCCCACTGTGCCATTTGCTGGTGTAGAGACACATCCTCAATTTAATTGTCTTGTGTAATAAACATAAATCTATTATCCTTATATAGGAAACATAACAAAATAATCACTAATTGTTTGATTCCTATTCCTTAAAATAAAATAGCATTTCATCTACAACATGGATTTCTTGCTCTGAGTAAAAATCTCATGCTTGGCTATTTGTGAGAGATGTACTTCATCAGGTCCATCAGCAATTCTTAGTGAACGAGCACCAGCATAGAACTGAGCCAGCGGTGTATCGCTAGAGACACCAGCTCCACCATGAACTTGTATAGCTTCGTCTATCACAGACATAGCCATGCGTGGTACTGCAACTTTAATCATAGCAACCTTAATGAGGAAAGAAAAAAAAAAATTGAGTCACATGCCATCAAATACGAGTCCCATGCTTCCAATTATCCGTTGTATTTGATAGCACTAACCTGCTTAGTTTCTAGGTAATCAATTAAAGCAAGATTTTTCTTGGTAGTATATATGAAGAATGATTTATCATACTATATTGTGTTATATTATGGATTTTCTATGTTTCTTTTGAAAGCAGAAATACAAAATAAAATATAAAAATAGATGATGTAAGTCTTGTTGTTTACGTATACAGTACATATACACATTTAAAAAAAAAACAAAACACCAAAATTAATTGTTTTTATCACCTGTAGTTTGGCGGCCTTGGTTCCCTTTACATCAATTGTATGCGCTGCTTTAAGAACGAGTAAGCGAGCCTGATCAATGGCAATGCGACATTCAGCTATCTTATGCTGAATAACACCCTAGATAAGCAAGAGAATACTATGAACCATTAACATATACTTTATTGTAAAGCTTTCATAGAATACTTTATATTTTAGTGAATATGTCAGTGGGGCAAATGTAGTAAAACAAAAAATTTATGACAGAAAATGCTTAAATCTATCGGAGTAAGTATGTGTACATTGGCATAGCAGAAATTATTTCCAGTAAGTGGGAAATGACCGTTAGAAGTTCCGCATTGTGGGACTTTCTCATTCTCATTTTTGCACCCTCAAGCTCAAAACCAGTCCAAACTCCTGTGTCTTGGTATCTATTAGTTCAAGATAGCAGTTAAACAAGTTAGCTATTTGCTATTGAATTCAATTGAGGCCATTTCAAAGGTTCACAATTTAGACACTAATGATTGTTTTTATATTACAAAAAACATTTAGTGGTACAGCACAGACAACATGCATCAGAAGGAATGTTAAGGAGCCAAACAAGAAAAAAATGTATTACCATTTAGAACTTATTTCCAAGTTGGTTGAGGCAAGGCAATAATTTTGAACATATGTTGCAGAAGTGGCGCCATCGGGGAGGGGGAACTTTTGTTGGGGAAAATATTTAATGTATTTTTGAACTACAAATTAGACACCTTTGAAAAACCTAAATAGTCATATTTTCTGGGGGCTTTGACTACACCCACATAAACTCTCATTTGGACATCGCCCAATTCATACTTAAATTAAACATATACAAAAGTGACTTCTGCCAATTAGACACGGTTTCACAAGATTTTGTCTCGTAAAAGCTTGCGCAACTCTTTGACTGGAACAACCTAGGTGTTAGGGCTGCTTTATAGCAAAAGGGGAAATAAATTTTTAAAATAGTTTATCCAATAGGAAACCAATGGAAAATTAATTATTTTATAGAATATAAGGAAACATTAACAACATTCTTAATATATAACATGAGATGTACGCTGCCCCTGGACCATTAATAATAGGTCCATGCTCTGCTCAGGTTCTGTCAATTTGGAGGATATGCCAGTGTAAGATCATGGACTTATTACGGTAAGGTTGTTCAGATTACCTGCACTGATGGTTAAAAACAGGTAGTACTCTTAAATGCACAATAATAATAGTTTTAACTCCAACAACATATTGGATTGGATTGGATTTATTCGGTGTAAACACCAAGGATAGCCCACGAAAGTCTAGAGTAACAAGCAGTAAATAATTTTGACTTAAACTACTTAAACTAAAAGCAGTTCCGAAATGTGGATTATCATATAAAAAATTAAAACACAACATGAAAACATAAAAACATAATATTTTCTACTTATTTAGATGATTCATCAACAATAGGGTCTACTTTCTTAAAGATAATTTTGATTTGGTAGAAAGGATACAAAGCAAAAGGTAATGTTGTATTCCTACCATTTCTATCAATCTCTTTCTGAATGCTTTCCGCTGAAATGCTCTGTCACACATGAGTGTTAGGGACCTCTCAGCAAGGCCAATAAGCCTCATGCAGTGGTGGATACGACCAGGACCAAGCCTTCCTTGGGCTATCTCAAAACCCTTTCCTTCTCCTGTTAAAAAAACATATACCTTTTTAAAACCACTTTAGACAGGGGCGGATCCAGAAATTTGTTGTTTTTGTGAGGGGGTGGGGGAAACAAAAAGGAGTTTCCAAGGACCTCACCCCCATTATGGTTGGAGCTGAAGATGAGAAAATTTTAAGAATAGGCACCTCTAGATGCCTGCAAATGACACTCGGAAAGTACAAATGCTTTTTCAAACCAGTGCTCCTCGACAATAATATTGGTTTCTTCCCGACCGGTGTTATGCTCCACCTCCCCTAGACACCCTTCCCTGACAAGCGTTGTGAAGGCCAAATCAAGGACCTATAGTCTATGATAGGAGGCGCAAAGCACAAAACTTAGAACCCACAGCCCGAGAGAAGGATTTGTGAGAAGTGTACCAGGGCCCAGATCAACCATGGTTCATATTCATATTAATATTAATAGTTTAGGCCTAATAAAGAGACTACAATGTAGAGAAAAAGCACCAATTTTCAAGCATGGATAGCTGTTCTAACTCTGCTAAACTTGCCACGAGTCATATCAACGAATAAGTTAATTTAGAGACGAAAAATAATCCAGTTTTGTTCCCACCTTTATTCTTAGAAAGGGACAAGGTACTGTTTGAAATTCACATTAATATTTACAATGCAAGATCACAGTGGTAATGTACAAGAATAACATATATAGGCAAATTACAAATTAATAACTACTTTAAGAATGTAGGCACTTATATATGATAAAAGTGGAAGCAGTTTGGCACAGTGGGAATGGTTTCATTTCTAAACCTCCCTTTTTTTATTATTGAATCACCTGAAAATTTTAATATTTTAAATGCCAAACTTTTAAATTATGCTTATTTTACTATAGAATTTTTACAATTGTTAACTTTCTTCTCTATTAGCCGACCTGACTATGATGATGAATAGCTTAATTGCTTTTATACATTTTATATATATTTTAGCATTTTAAATTTGTTTTAAGTAAATTTTTCATCATCTGAAAATTTTAATATTTTAAATGCAAACTTTTAAATTATATCTATTTTACTTTGAACTTTTTAAATTTTAAACATTAAATGTTTATATATTTTTAAAAACTTACCCTCTCATCCGCTTAACTCTACAGAAATTGAGGATATGCTCCAGCCCTATGAGAACTAGTGTTTCGCAAGGATTTACTTATATAATGATAAATAATACTGACAGCATCTAACTACAAATTTACTATAGGTCTGATAAAATTTCACAAACAATAACTCATTTTAATGAACAGAATTAAATAAACTTATTTAGACTTATTTATGAACAAAATGAATGTGTAGGAACATAAAATAAAAAAGAAAATATTCCATATTTGTGCTTACCTAGAATGAGATTGGAAGCAGGCACACGAACATTATCAAATTTCAATTCTAGATGACCATGCGGAGCATCTGATGGGAGAAAAATCAATCAAGTAATCTAGTGTTTTATTTTGTCGTGATAACCAACTTTTGGGATGATAGTGATTCTTAAAAGGTAAAGGTTTTGCAATTTTTTGTAGTTCATTGGAATTTTAAGACTAAGACATAAATTTGTATATCAGAAAACATTACGCTTTAAAGCCCCCATTCCCGGCAATCAAATTTTAAAATTTATTTATTTATTTATTCTGTCTTTCTACTGCATGCACTTTCAGTACTTGTGTACTGTTTTTCAAAGTGGTACAGTTTCATAAAATACAAAAGTTAAAAGAAAAGTAATTAAAAATAACATATATATATATATATATATAAATAGATATCATAATAAAAGTGATTAAGAATTGAAAGAGTTTTTAAAAAATATAATAGACATGTTCATGAAATTTGTTGTTGTTTCGTGTGGAAGTTCATTCCACAACTTTGTTGAACGATACAAAAAAGTTCTCTTGCCTTGACAGTTATTCCATTGTGGTACAAAAAGGTTATTATGAGATTGACTATGTGTACATTTTGAATGGGATTCGATATTAAATTTAAATAATTTTAAAAGATAAATATGATTTTGATATCACATAGAAAGACTTATAAATACAGTACACAGTAATATGAAATTGCTAGTTTAACTGAATTTAGACATTCCTAAACATGAAAAAAATGCAAAAAAAATATGACTAAAATTTGATTTTTTGTTGTTGTTGTATTTTCTATGTTTGAATTTGGGATAGGTCTAATCTGTTGGTGAATAACTATATTAGGCGCCAGAAACATTTTCCTAGCAACACTGCCTGTTATCAGACTTGACGTCTGACATTACATTTGAGACCTGCTACCACGAAATGGCTGTAAACTCGTACCTAGTCAAAAATTAGATTTTGCTATAGTCTTATAGAACACATTACGAGATTTAAAATGGTGATTAAACCATTTCAAGCAATTCTACGGCCATTTGAATAATTACTAACTTCCAGAAATAAAAATTTGAAGTTTTGAGAAAAAGGCTAATGAAATTAACCATACTTAAATTTGAAGGATATTGCAAGTGTATACCAATAAAATACCTTAGCAACCAGTACTTCTTGTAGGCCTACCAAAACCAAATTTTGCACAGACTTTGTGCAAAGGTAGAGGAACAAGTACTAAATATTTCAAAGTCATACCCCCGGGGGAGGGGAATGGCAGCCATTTTAAAATGACGTCATATTATAACTATACAAAATGGATATTATTGTCTCATGTGGTCCCTATTCAAAATTGGGCCCGATCGTCTCGGCTTGATCGTCTTGTGGGCCCGATCGTCTGTCCTCCATCATGATGATCGTCGCTAAAATCGTCCTTCTCTTTTTGGCTTAGTTCTGCACCATCCGACGTCGTTCCTTTTTCAAAATATTTGTCACTTAGCCTACAAAATCGTCGTCAGTGAGATTCAAACATTTTGCCCTATTTAAGGCAAATGCAAATCTCCTTTCTGTTTCATTATCTCAAACTTTATTTCGATTCGAAGCCATTCGGGGGAGGTAAAAAGGTCGCAGGCCGACTGTAATGAGTTCTAAGTCCTTATTACATAGGCGTTCTTTCAGAGACCAGTTTGTACACCTGTCAATCAGGTGATCAGTCTCAGCCAATCACGTTCAATATTTTATGGCCTTAGAAACCAATGTTTACATTACAGAGGCTGTTTTCTATTGGATAAAACAAGCTCAAATTCACCTTATTAGCAAAGATTGACAAATCAGAGTATTTTATATATTTCTATTAATGATTTTAACACGATTTAGGTCACAGTTCAGGCTTGCATAGCGAAATATGGCGCATAGAAGAGCGGTCTGTTTTGATCGATTTTGCTCGCGTTTACTGCCAGTTTTCATCCAGTTTCTATGGAGTGTCCTCAAAAAATGGCATTATTTTGTGCTTTATAGTAGGAATATTAGGTCCAAACTTAGTAAATAGTGAAATCAAAGGTATTACTTTATTATTCTACCAAAAACTCATTTTCCAAAAAATACACGTATTTCGACCTATTCCAGCTTAATAGGCATTTTTCTCATTACACGACGGTGCGACTTTACAGCCCAACCGTCGTAGCAGGTCACATTTTTTGTGACCAGTATTATCACTTATAAAATATAATATTTTATTTGAATTATTTCAAACTGGTTAAAAACGATTCTGAATGAGATTTTGACAATTAAACAAACAATCTCAGGCCTACTCGATCGTTTACAGTGTGCGAGGCATGCAAGGTACAAAAACTAATATCATTAGAAAGGACGCACTATATTTATCGCACAATATTGTATTGGCGAAATAAACAGTTCAGTAAATCGGATTAATGCTCTTATTCAATTAATTGTGTTAAAATATTTTATGAGAGTTTAAGGTATTACTGGGCAAGATAAAAATTAAAGAATGTGGTGGGTTCGCAAAACAATTACCTCGGGCACTCAACTGTAAAAAGTATACACAAACAACAGCTGGTGAGAGCATGCCAGGGGATGAGGTATACAACCTCTGAATTTGTCTAGTAATGAAGTCATCGAGAAAATGGTACTTCCCTGATAGTCTCTATTTCTCATTATTTTTTCTCCTCTAGCATGAAACTAATATTTAGGCACAAAAAACAAGGGCCAAGATTTTCCCCACAGAATGGCAAAAGGTTTAGAGTTAAGACAATAATTATGAAAATATTATTTAAAAAAACAAAAAAACTTACCAACAGACCCAAAGACAGTCAGTGGACGAATTTTGGTGACTCCAGGAGTTTCCATTGGAATGATGATCATACTATGACTTGAATGCCTGTCAATAAAAATTTGTTTTTGTTAAACAAATATTAAAATTCCAATTTGAATATTTTATTTTAATCAATCATATTATGAAAATTGATGAGATAAATTATGGGTCTCAACCAAGCATTGAAAGAAATGGAGAAAACAGAAGTTTTAAACATACAAATAATGTGCTCTGCTTTTATATAAAAATATATACTATAGTTTTCTATTGGATGCATTTAAAAATCAAAATAATACACATTCAACATTAAACTAGGAAAAAAGTAAATATATTCTCTTGTCACTTTTATAACAGCATTATTTTAAAAATCCTTAAAAATGAAGTCAAAAGGGAAAAAAATGGCATGTGCTTAAATGTAATTCAACTATCTCTTTTTCTAAACACTACACCTACACTTTTCCTCATAATTTAACATATTATTTTACAGGAATAATTACAGATGCTATTTCATAACTTGCAATGAAAATACAATATAATTCTTGACTAAGTTGAACACTTTTTAAATAATTAGACTTAACTGTATATATATTATGATAATAATATAATTGTAATGAATGCATTCTATGATTGTGATATATGATGTCATATTATGCAATGTTTTATGATGATGTTGAATTGCAGCATTACTGTGTTGTTTGTTATTGGGGTGCTGAATTCCTAGAGTGCTTAATTGTTTGATTATGGTTAGACTGTTGTATGTTTAATATTTGTGCTAATACTACTACTAGTATTAGCACAAATATTAAACATACAACAGTCTGTATGTTTAATATTTGTGCTAATACTACTACTAGTATTGTACAAAGGCTAAGGTCTAATCATGTGTTGCAATTCTTTATTCGTCAGCATGATGCAAGTATTAAAGACTGTTTAAATGAGATTTGGAATTGGAGCATTTCTGTAGATATGTCTAATATACAATGAATATTTGCTGAGTTTCCAGTATCTGGCTGATCGAATATAAGTTTATAAACACAGCTGTTGTTAAGTAAATGCCTTAAAAGTTCTTGCTACAAAATATTATTAATGGCACAATTTATTTATCTTGTTCAAAGTAAAATATATTTTTGTGAAGAAAATCCAAAAACAATGCGTATTTAAAAAACAATAAACAGAAATACAATGAAAAATATGACATTAATTCTTATGTTACCCAATAAAGTTTTAAATAGGGTGTTGAATATGTAATTATATTTTATTGTAATTTTATGAATTTTGTTATATTTTTGCAAGGAGACAATAAATCAACGGAACTAAAAAATTACAAGGCAAAATAACATATCATCAATGAAGATAAGTTGTTTTGCCTTGGAATGTATTTAAAAATTGTTTTAAGTTTGGGATAGCAAAAACTTCTGGTTTTGGGAGAGCAAAATCTACTGGTTAATACATATCAACAACAACTGGTGCATGCACAAGCTAGATAATGCATACGATTGCTCCTAACATGATAAGTTCATGTAGCACTTGTGGCAATAACTTTGTAATAAACCAATTATTGTAATAAAAATTTTACAAATAATCATAATTTCTATAGATCAATAGTCGTGCAAAATTTCAGAAGGGTACGAAAATTTGTTGCTGAGTTGTATAAACCCATTTATAGTTGTAAAAATGGGTTTTAATGTAGTGCTTTGATCTCTTTTTTTAAAGGCACTATATAAATGGTTTTTTTTATAATAATAATAATATTAATTTTTTATCTCATCTGAACTTAAATTTTTATCTATATGGTATAAATTTTAAAAACTCAATGCATGGTGTATATTCTGAATATGAAATAAACTAACCTATTTTTTGTGTCCCCTGTTCTTCCCATTAGTATAATTAACTTGCATCTTGGGTCCCCAGCACCTAACAGATATAAAAATAAAAAGTAAGAGTGACAATGTTAAACAAATGTGAAAAAACATCCCTTGATAATCATTAAAAAAGGATATCAATATAATAGAACAAAATTAGATTAGTGTCACAAACAATGCTACTTATCATTGGTTAATTTCAAATTGTTTATTATTCTTCTTTACTTTTCAGAGTTCATCCAAAAGTAAAATATGCAAGACTTTAAAATGTAAAAGAGAAAAAATGGACTGAAAAAAGAAAGGAAAATTAGCAGCAACAAAGTGGAGAAAGAAGCATTAGTAGAAATTAGGAATGGTAAAGTTCTACTAGTCAAATTAAAAATACACAAAATATAAAGAAAATTAAGTGTCATGCGATCCTACCACTACTCCACCATTTGCGTCCATTGATCAGATACTCATCACCAACCCGTGTCATTGTACACTCCATGTTAGTGGCATCACTTGAAGCAACCTGTGGCTCTATAAAAAAAAAGAAAAAAAGACTTTGAAAATCAAAGCCTGTAAATCAAAGGAAATTACACACTTCAAATGATGATGTTAGTTTAAAGTCAGACCAATAATTGAAAAATAGAAAAACAATAGAACTGTCTTCTGCAAATGGGTGATTATCTAGACGTGAGTATTTCACACATTCATAAACAAATCACTTAACAACATCATTGATTATAATATTTTTTGTAAAATCTGATTAAACTAACATTTGCAAAACCATCCTGCCAGCTATTGGAAGCTGACAAGATACAAACACAATATATTTGTATTTAATATAAAAGGTCCAAGGGATAATGCTGATACTATTAGATGATAACATTGCATCCCTCACAATGCAGAATATCTGTGATGGGTACACCCGCACAAATAAACCTACTTACTCGTACATGTTTGAGACATTTTGTATGTTAACTATAATAATAGAACTTATATACCGCCAGCTTTCTTTTAACCTAATCAAATATAAGGTGCGGAATCAGAGCTTCATCTCACAATGATGACAAGTAATGGGCGGGGTCATGAGCAAAGAGAGTGTAATTTGCGGTTGTTCTGTGAAATAGAAAACAATTATTAGATGGGGCCCGGAAATTTTTGTTTCTAGATGCTTGGAAATTCACTTTCTTGCATTCTCTGAAGTCTATTAATGAATGAACATCCTCAGAACTGATGATTAGAATGACGACGACATGATGATGATGATGATGGTGAGGACAATGGTACAATGATGATTAATACATCAATGATAATGTAGCTGTTGGCACCATTGTAAAACTTCAAATAGAAACCTATAAATCTATTAGTGACCCATGCTCTAATCTAATAATTACCCACTTTAAAGGTTAATATTGACCCACTACACTAATACTGCACGTACAATACATTTATAATGAAATCAAAATAAATTTAGTAGGTAAAAACTAGGAATGCCAAATCTTCATGCATAGGCCTAATGACAAATACAATTTCATTCTAATTTATATTTTGACAACTTTTGAGCAATAAAATGAACATCATTTTTCCTGATCCTTATAATGGACATCGGTATGGGATTAAGGGGTTAATTTTTTTTTTTTTTGCATACTTTCATATACGATTTGACTCTTAATCATGGGATTTATCCATAGCATAATCCTCAACCTGATTTGTTTTATACTTATTCTTATTTCATCATAAATGTCCCAAGTGATCTACCTTAGGTAAATAAACCAATTTAGGGGTTTTTAATAGATTTAGGAAAAATGTATAATACATTTTCATGACTGTAACTTTCTGCAAATGTTGGGTAAAATATTTTGTACTTCCAAAAAATAGCAAAATTGTTTGACATTCTAACTTAGGTCAAAGGTTCTGTGGCCCAAATTTGGGTTAGGGAAATCCCCTAAAAGAGTCAGCAGAAGAGGGCAGCATTACTAAATGCCTGTCAAACTAACAAAACTAAAAAAAGTACTTGTGTTACAGTATACAGAAGTAGCGTAAGTGTCAGAGAAGCAGAACCTCATGTAATGATTTTGCTTTGCTTACAAACCTGTCATTGAGAAGCAAGACCTTATTTCTCCTTCCAGCAGTGGTTGTAGCCAAGACTTCTTCTGCTCAGCATTTCCATACATGTACAGGACCTCCATGTTACCCGTATCTGCAATCAAATTACACTTAACGAATTTACTTTTGTATTACAGATGCCATTTGTTAAACATTTCATCTTTTGTTCTTTACTGGGGAATAGGTCTGTGATAGAACAATGTTATAAGACAGGTTGTATAATAAACATTTAACTGGTAACAGCACAGATATTACAGAGATCCATGATAAGAGTACAAACTCCTGTTGGGCAGTTCTGAAAGATGGCTTGTTGAAAGCAACAGAGAAGGTCTGTGGTTGGACAAAGCACCCTGGTAAACACCAAGTCCCCTGGTGGTGGGATGATAAAGCTGACACAGCAGTAAATGAGAAGAGAATGTTGGAAGAAAAGTGGGAGCAAAAAAGTATATCTGCAAGCAACACAAAGAGCACGGATGGTACAGTAGTAAGAAGTACCAAGAGAATAGAAGAGGAAGCTCTTGCAGCAAAGTCAGATGTCGGAGAAGCAAAGAATAAAATATTCAAGATTGCTAGACAAATGGTCAAGAAAAATAGAGATGTGTCTGACACTCGATGTGTGAAGGATGATGAAAGAAACATTATCACCGATAAGACCATAATAAAGAAAAAATGGTAGACCATCAAATTTGACTGGAATCAGGAAAACATCAATGCAACTGACTCAGTCAGTAGCACTTATCTAAAGATCGAGTACAGTATGGTGGAGATAGCCTTCAAACACATGAAGAACAACAATAAAGCTGTGGCTGCTCGGGTATTGTAGCAGAGATGCTCAAGGCTACTGGAGACCTTGGAGTGAGCATAGTCAGATACTGTATATCATTGAAGAGTTTACTGCTTATTGATAAATGCCAGATGACTGGAGAAAGAGCACAATCATCAATATATATAAAGGTAAGGGTGATGCCCTTGTCAGGAATAATTAGAGGTAATTACTGTACTTCACCAAGTCATGAAAGTAGCAGAAATTGCAGGAGAAAATCTCAAATAACAGCATGCAGTTTTGTTTTATGCCTGGAAGAGGCACCACCAACGCTCCTTTCATAGTGAGAGAGATTCAGAAGTACAGTATCTTGATAAGAGGCAGTTATACTTTGTATTTGCAGACCTGGAAAAGGCCTTCGACAGAGTACCCAGAGAAGTGGTTAGATGGGCAATGAGAAGATTGGGTGTGAATGAGTGGCTTGCAGAATCATTATGTCAACATATGAGTTGGATAAGGCATTGAAAAAACAGTTTGAAGTAACAGTGGATCAGCTTTGAGCCCTTTCCGGTTTATCATGGTCTTTAATGCAATCAAGATTTCAGATCAGGGTTACCTTCAGAACTCTTATATGCCAATGACCTAGTCCTCATTGTTGAAAGAAATGAATGAACAGTTCAAGTCCTGGAAATCAGGAACAGAAGGCAAAGGCCTGAGGGTAAAAATTATGTTAAACAGAAATATTGATGATGATGAGGGGTCTTAAGTTGAAAGAAACCACTTCCAAGGGAGCTGGTTAAATGAGCTTTCTTAACACATCTAACTTTATTTTGCTGGGCATCACCACCTGACATCCAGGAGACAATTTATAATTATTATAATACATTAATAGTAAAAATATGTAAAATATAATGAATTTGTGGGAGGTTATTTTCCGGGAGGTTTTAGCTTTCCTGCAGGAGTGTGGGAGGCTGCTTCGATTTCAGGGAGACACCTATCACTTGCGAAAAACTTGGGACCCCTGTAGTAAATAGATAAAACCTATATACATATAAAAATACATTATATGTGTACCTGGGGCACTGCAGTTGAAGACCTCAGGAGCAATAAGTGACCTGCCCATCTCCTCAGCCATGTAAGCATACTCCAAAACACTGATGCCACTGACTCCCGGGAGAAACAGATTCCACAGACCAGCTGCTTTTGCCTTGCTCTACACAAACATAATTAAAAGTAAGACAGAATTAACCAGTGGGGTAATTTGCAATAAGGTTATAATTAATATTATTTTGTCATACTTTATTCAGACATCAATACATGAGATTATGTTTTGTGATGTCGTTACTCTTATGAACAGAAATAAAAAATTTTTATTCACAATTTTACATGCTATTAAATTTTACAATTTTGATGTTCAGTAATTGTCCATACGCATTCTTAAAGATAAATAGCTATTGATGGATTTACAGACCTTAAGAGTATTCATAATTGGAATGACGGTCCAAGGGGTGTCAGATTCCTGAAGTTGTTCAAAATAAATCTGAAATGGGAACAATATCAATTATTTTACATAGTGCACAACACAAAAGGACAATGATCTGCTGATCTGCCGGCAGGCAAAGCGTCGTAAATGCTTTAAAATTATTCTTCTAACATGTTCCCTCTTGTGATATTACACTTTTCAAAATGTTGTTTTCCCATTTTCTCGGGTTTTGTTCATGGATTGTTTGTGTTTGCAAGCCCTTCTGGTTTAAGTCTGATTTGGTTTCTTATACACTAGTTAACACAAGGTCCATACTACTACAATTTTATAGTTTTTCCATGATTATGGTGTCATTTGAATTGATTTGTCAAAATATTTTGTTAATCGTATACAGGATAAATCGTCCTAGTGTAAAAGCTTCTCATATTTCTTTTATTTTCTATTAAAGAACAATTGCTTTTTAGCTTTTAATCGTTATCGTTGCAAGTATAAACAGGCCTTTATGACGATTATCAGATTGAGGTTTTGAAATGTAGGTAAAGTTTGATAATTTTATAGGACGTTCCCTAGATGTCTAGGCAGGTTTCTGTGACATATACCGCATTCCATAATGGCTTTGTCTTACAGTGCAGTTTTGGTAGTCTTTAGGAGTGGGGGTATTGTCTGTCTTTAGTTATGTCTTTAATATTTGTCAAAAAGAAAATCAAAAAATAGGGCACAAATTTATATCTGGTTTAGCTTGGGTAAGAAAAGTCATAACAAACAGAAAGTGTGGAAAGTCATCTTTGCTTGTTTACTAAATGTCACTGTGACAGAGTAACACACACACACTAACATTGTAACATACACTGACAAATGGATAGGTTCCTATTGTTAATAGGAACCAATAATGTTCATAACAACCACACATAACATAGGCTGCCATCCACATATGTAAAAAATGTCTTGGATTATATAAACAACTACTGGCAAAAACATCGGGTAGTATTAAATCCATTAGCTTTTGTGCACACAGAATTGTCTTCTTTTACTTGAAGAAGAGCACCGTCTGATAGAAAGCTATTGTAAAACGAGTCTTAAAAGTACTACAAGTTTACAGTGTTTCATGAGTTAAAATGTTTATCAAAAACTCGTCAGACTTTACCTTTTCTGCAGGATACACATGTTCCTTCATAAATTCTTTGACTGCCACAAGTAGTTTCTGACCTTTAGCTGATCCTGGTTGAGGTTGTAAAATTGACAAGTCACTATCACTAACAATTTCACAACTGTAAATTAACAAAATAAAATGAAAAAGTAGTTGCTAAATCCCAATTCAGGTCAAGCATAAGTCGTCATAGTTGTGAAAACCAAGCTGCTCTAGCAAACTAATTGTAAAGTGTTTGACTTCATCAAAAATGATTAGTCTTTCTTGGAGCCACTCACATGTTGCATTTAACAGGTACAATATCTGACCCATTATTTTTTTAGATTTTGCTAATAATAATTCTGTTAATAATTCAAACAGAGTTTAAATACTTGAATTTGATGTGATACTGAATATAATATTAAATTTTGATGTTTGTTCATTTTGACCATTTTCTGCATTACTTTTATGTAGAAACTGTTTTATCAAAAATAATCTAATTTTCATTTTGGCTAATCAGTTTGTCTGACATATTTACTTAAAGACAGAATTTTAGTAACAAAAAGACACTGTCATGTCTGTAACATTACATAATTGTGTACATTTTTCAGCAATCCCCTAAGCAATTTTCCTACAAAGTAAAATTTAACTTGTCAAAGTTACTGAAATCAAACAAATACAGACTCTGAAAAGTTATTATTATTATTATCATTACAATTTACAATATTCTATATTAAATAACACAATATTCTATAAAATGTACATTTGTTTACCTTTTGACTAGTTCAATTCCAGCATCAGCAAGTACTTTCACATACTTATGTGGTATAGCAATATTAGAACTAGCATTACCAAGTACACTTCTTGCATACACCCCCTAAAACCCATAGAAGAGCACCAAAAATATGATTAGTTAGTTAGTTTCTGGATAATTTAATATAATATAAGAATATCATGAGATGTAATATGCCAACTAGATTTCCTATTCAATGGCTGCCAATAACTGATATATTTTCAGTGGCTAAATTTATTATTATTTATTATTATAATCAATGTGGAAACATTGTTCTTCCTTGGGGTCCAGATTAACACTTTAATTACATACAAAACAAAAAATTAATGAAAATAAAAATTATGAACAGAATTAATTGATAATACACCTATTAAGAGTCGATTGAACAAAATTTTTAGGAGTACATATTGATGAATTTATATCTTTTAAACAACAAATACACAAACTTACAAAGAATGTAAGATATATTATCTTATAAGATAAGACATTTTTTACCAACTGCTCTGTTGACCGTATAAAAATCATTAATCCAACCTCAATTAACTTATTATGGTCTAGCACATACAGTAGTGTACCCTAGTCTTGCAGAAAAATTATTCCGTGTGCAAAAAAAAGCTATTCTTGCAACTGCATCGGGCTAGAAAAAATAATTCAACTGACCAAGTTTTTTCTAAAGGTAAAATACTTAAACTAAAAGACATAAATCAACTCAAAATTGGCTACTTTATGTATAAATCAATTAATAATTTTATCCCACGTTTTAACTCTATTTAAAGGAAAAAAAAAAACACATTGTGACAACCATAAATATGAAACAAGATTTCCTGCAATATTTTACCCAAACAAAAAAATTTTAATTTTACCGGTTTTACAATTTTGTGTACAGGACCTAAACTATGGAACAGCCTTTTTTAGTGACTTAAAATAAACAAAGACTCCAGAAAATTTTAAAACTAATTTTCAGAAACATCATTCATCGTGTTACTCAAAATAGTTTTATACGTATGTGTCAAAGAACTGTTCTTTGGGATGCCAAAGAGAACCGTTCGTAACCCTTTGAAACCTGTATTATTTACATCTTGCGGCACCCTCACACTGAGTTATTTGGACAAAATATGCTTTTTTTTTATTACAATTATCACCACCACCTCCTAGGCCCTGTACCGCTACCATAGCCATCCATCAACCTGACGCACTACTATCATCACTGCCACTGGCACTAGCACCACTATCGTGATTGGCCTAGCCTAGGGCTAGAAACTACACTTTTTCTAAATCACTTCCTGGATAATTGTCATCATCAATATTTTCTTGGGAGTCATAATGTATCAATTGTAAAGCACTATTGGCATTTATTGTCAAATTATTCAATATAAATTTGTTTTTTACCAAAAAAATCCACACGTACGAGGCTGTCAGAACGACTTGGGAATGATGATGTCACAAAATTATGTCATATTACTCATACTGGTCAGGTGATTACCCACAATAATGTCCCCTGACCTGCAAAGCCGTTATACCGACCTTTAGGGTTATTGCAGCGTAAGCGCGGCCGTTTTTCTGGCCTTCCGGGTTCAAAGGGTTAAGAAGAACGGTCCTTTCTTGTCAGTAGAAACAGGCCCATAGATATATAATGTTATTTTTGGCTCCATCCATACCAACATCATATTGTGAGAATTAAGTATATTTTCGGTACCTACAGTATCAAACCACCTATTTGAAAGAAGCATTTCAGATTTACCTAAATTTTACTGTGTTATAAATGATTAGCTGATAGTAAAATAATGATTGAGAATAAGAATACCGTATATACCTGAGATATGGACATTGATTTGAAAAATGCAAGTACTTGGTAGAAATTCCAACTTGGTATTGGGTGAGGAACTGAGCGAATTTTGCAGTAAAGTTTTAAGTAGTCATCTAATGACCAAATGCCTGGTACATTAGCTAAATCACTCATGCTACCTATCATAAATTAAAAGGAAAACATTGTTCTGTACATTATTCTGTTAAAAAAAATGTTCATTGTACAAGGAGTATTTAGGTACCTAAAAACAGATATAGTACAGAAACATGCCAGAGAAAAATTTACTGTTAACACTTAGCCACAAGAATAAATAACATTGGTATTTAAAGATTTTATAAATATTATAAAAAATAATTTTGAAATTAACTTGCTAATTTTGCAGCAACATACAAATTATTAACTTGAGACTAGAAATTGTTGAAATTAAAAAATGTGCACCCTGATTTTCATACTGGTTAATGATAATATAAATAATAAAACACTTCCAGTGATTGGAATTAGCCAGTCAGCCGCAAGCAGACTGGGTTCTGTATTCTTAGCGTTCTTCTGGCAACATTTCAAAATGCTACTGGTGCCAAACGGTAGGACCAATTTCAACCAAACCTGGTCAGTACCACCGGTGATAACCAAAAATAATAGAGACTTCTCTCACAAATAACATACCATAGTTTTGTCCTTTGCACATATGCATTGCCATAAGGTAAAGTATAGAGACCAGCGGCAAATCGACATAAATTGTGTACTTCCATTTTTTTTCAAAGTCAGCCACACCCATTGTCTTCTTTTTTTCGGCCTACAATCTTCCTAATAGGCTTATTATTATCCTTTGTTTAACAACATCAACTATGATAGGCCTTGTTTCGTAAAAATGAGGGAATGCAATAGTTGGAGAAGGGTGTGGGATAAAAAAAATTGCACCCCAGGTTCACCTACTTACCACTAGAAATTTCCAGGGCAATCAGAAAAATCCACTCATGTACTAAGTAGTTAAAAACAATGCTAACGCCAAATATTCCCCAACGAATTATGTCTGACACCCCCCAAAAAAAGCCCACATTTACATCAGCCCCACCATGTTTGGGGCTATTTTAAGAAATAGACACTCAGATTCCGGGAAATGCCACTTTCAGACTGTAAAATACTTTTTTAAAGCAGTGTTTTCAACAGAATGACATTCCAACCCCTGAGCCTGCTCCCCAGATCCGCTGCCAACGGTTGAACATTGCATCATATCACCGGCCCTCACTCAGGGGTCCCAAGTCTCCCGGAAATTGGGACAGCCTCCTAAAGTCCCGCAAGTAAGCAAGAATCTCCCAGAAATTAACCCATCTCCGCAAATTCTTAGCTTTGCATGTTTTCAATGCTTTATTATCCATCAATTTTCTCAGAGAAGTCAGTGCCGATGGGTATCAATATGTGCAGAAAAAAATATAATTAAATGTGTTAAGAAAGCTCATTAAACCTGATCAGTGGCAGATTCAATGGGGGAGGGGAAACCAGCCCCCCCCCCAAATATTACAAAATTATAAAAAAGTGGGGTAGAAGAGAAAATAATATTTAAATATTAAATCTGAGAGGGCCATTTCCAGTCATCTAGAGGTGCCACAATCATACATTTTCTTACCTCAGCTCAAACCATAGTGGCGCTGAGGTGGTCTAGACCCGCCATTTGTAAAGTCCCTTCCTGACCCCGCAGATCTCCCAGAAAAAACTTCTTCCAGCTTCAAACCTCTGCCTTACCTTATCCTTTTCCCCCATCAGGCTCCCCATGTCAATACTCTATGTCAGTAGGTACTGTGAGCTACAGTACACTCCAAAAAAGCCAGAGCACAGTCGGTGGTTGTGTTCAGAGAAACGTTTTCTGTATCACTACTTCTATCACAAATAACATAGCACAGTCTTGTCCTTTGCATATATGCATTGGCATAAGGATGGATATATGGGGTCAAAGGTCACAAAGGCTTCATTCTTATTTTCTGGTAACATTTCAAAACTCTACTGGTGGTGAACGGTTATGCTGATTTCAATCAACTTGATCAGTATAACCGGTGACACCTAGTGAATTTGGTTGTTATGGCATAAGTCTTTTGTGCATTGAAAAGGTAAATGAAATATTCCTTTTCATTAAATTAAAAAAAAGAAAAAAAAAAAATTCCTGAAGCTATTCAGGATTGAATCATGGTCTTCAGCACAAGAAGCTAAAACAATTTGAACCAGCTAACTGTCTAACTCCTCTTTTGTTACAGTAATATTGTTAGCATGATCCAATAGCACTCAAACTTACCTGACAGGGTTCATGTTCTATTGACCATAGTCTCTATTTTTTCTGTAATTTTTCATGTGAAATTAAAGGTAAACATTTTTTAAATACATTAATTTCAATGTTCAATTTAATTTCGAAGTTTTATCACAGAATAATTAATATCCCGACGAGATTTGATTGACAGATAAACCGACTAATCAGCGAGCATCATTTCTCGGACACTTTAATTTCCTTAGACAGCGGTTTAAACGCAAAACATACGTGAGAAGCCTAGGCCTAGATGTCTATGCTTGGTTATAGATACCCAGATTCACAAGAGCAGTGCACATCAGTGACTTAACCTTTGCCGACAACAAGGTTGACTGAATGTGGCTTTTCCCTCTTCCTTTGGGAGCGAAATACAGAGGCTTTTAAAACAATTTCCCCGCCATGTTCCATGAAATAGATTACACTATGAATACATGATTCATTTGCATACCGCCTACCCTGAATTCTCTTTCTTAAAGAAGGTTGATAGCAAAGAAAATCTTCGCCAACTCGGTAAGTCTAGGTACCATTGTCTAAGGTTTTCGTGACTTTGTTGGCGGGGCCTCGCGTCCTTGTCGACATGTTAATTGTGCTGTACACTGTACAGCAAAAAATTCTTCCATACTGTATCATACATACTATTTTTGACACCAATGCTCAACGGTATCTCTTTAGGCCAGACATAAGGAAGACAGTTATAAGCAAGGTCTGCATACGGATCACCAAGTGTTGACAACTCCCAGTCCAATACAGCAACAACAGCAGGCTGGAGAACACAGAACATTACAGTGAATATAGCAAGTGGTAGAAGGTTTGTGATGATAACCAAACATTTAGATCAAATGCTTTATAAGTATCAGATTTCTGCTAATCACAACAAAATTTAAATACAGTAGTACTTGTAGCTTACCGTTTTCTGCCATCACTGGATGATATAACTACTGCATGCCATCACACTTAATGATTCTTTTTTAATGTTAAAAGAGTAATGCTTATTAAAAAAAAAATATTCTGATGGGCCTACAGGGCCTGAAGGCAATTTTTGAAAATATTAATCTAAGTATAAATTCATCTTGTGTTATATGACTATAAATGCTTTTATTTAGTGTTGATCACCTATTTTTAAAAAAAATCTGTAATGTAAATGGTAGTGGTCTCATCAGATGATTAAAACATTAGCTGTGCATCTATTTAATCTTTCCTTGTAGGCACTTTTCAGCATTATAGTACTGATTTTCACAGTGGTACAGTGACGAGAAACATATACAGTGTAAATTGTAATAAACAAAGAATAAAATAAGATAAAATTTAAACAATATTTTAAATGATTTTGGAATGAAAAAGTGGACATCTCTTCGATATAAATTTTTAATTTGCGGTAGTTCATTCCAGCTTTTGGATGATCGATATAAACATGTTCTTTTTCCCTGTCCGAAATTATACATTGGAAGAACCAGGTTGTTATGGGTTTGCCTATGTATGCCTTTAGAAACATAGCTGCTAAGTTTTGTTATTTAATCGTCATCATCTGAATTTTGAAGAAACAATTACATAATTATTGAACCCAGCTGCAATTCTTTGAGAATAAATATTATGATAATCATAATTAGTTTCATTACATGCTAAACAATTTTTCTTACTAGTTTTTCATGGAAGATCAGGTTATCGAGTCTGAAGTCTCCATGTACAATGCAGGTATTTTTAGCATCCACTGGAAGGTTTGCAGGAAGCCACTTCATCAACTGGTTAGCACTAGCAACACTAGGAAGGGAGGCCATGCTTCCTGCAGATTCGTATTGTCTTGACCATGTGGAAACCTAAGAAAATCAAATTTCATTATCAAAATAAAAAAATTATCCAGTATTCTAGGGTCATCAATTCATGTATTCAATAACTTAAAGTATGTTGGCTTTGACTTGCCTGTTGACAACTTGCACAACATCTCATTTTCACTTTTTTTAAAGTCTATTCAAGAGCACTTACTATCAGGAATGTTCCTGCTAGGAATGCCTCTGAATTCACCCAGGATCAAATAACTAATTTGTCAAGCAAAAACAAGTTATGTAATTGATGTAATAAAAATACTGTTTATGAGATGGTAAAATATAGAGATCTATACTGATTTACTGTGTTCCCTAGTAAACTATAGTGCATGAATATTCATGATTATAGTGATTTCGGCAGAAAGTCCAATTTGTCTTACTTGCACCTTCTTGATGCATTTTCATAATAGCGCAATTAATAACAATAATATATTAATTTCCTCATAAAACAAATACTGGAGGAGGGCAAATCCAAATAGGAACAAGGTTCCTGTACAAGGTTTGGCAACCCAAAACATCAAACAGTAAGAAAAAAAAGCAAATGACGAAAGAACATTCACGCAACAGCAAAGATACCCAGCAAAAACAAAACGTCAGAAACATTACAGTAGTTACGGTAGATCAACCAATGTACTGTATGAAGAGACAGAGATAGAATATTGGATTCAAATTATTAATTAATTATGATTAAATCAAATTTTCAATGAAGCAGATGGCGGGTGATTTGGTAAATACTAACCTGCCTTTTACAGTAATCACTATGTTTGCCGTAGCTCTCTAGACCAATGCTTCTCCAGTATACATCATGAAGCTGGGCAAGGGTCTTATTCATTGATGCATAGATTTGTGCCCTTTCCCTTGGGTGAACACCAGGTAAACTTGGGTCTCGGAATATTCTCCCCTGTACGCCCAAATAAAGTGCAAAACAAACAGACTTAGAAGATCGCTTATACACTCGAGTGTCACTAACTACTGTATGTTGAGCTAAAAAAAATGTTCAACTTAAAAATTCAACATTATTACTTTGTATCCATTCAAATTTAAACGGAGAAAATACCACCAATTAAAACGTAGAGAAAATTAAAGCAAGGTAGCATTATGTGACTTGGCTTTAGCAATCTGGTAAAAATCTGGGGTAAATGGAAACAATAGAACAAAACTAAACTTTTGTTTGTTTTGTTATCCTCATATTATTTTCAGTAATCATTCGTGTTAATACTCCCCACACTTTTTTACTTCTTGGTAACCTATTGTTTAAATGGTGTTTTCATATTGTTCTTTTAATTTTATATTTCCCTCATATTTTGTTACTTTAAATGGCCTTGCACGGCCTTGACGAAAAACACCCTCGGGTGAATCAAGTGTATCCGTGTAAAAATAAAGTATAATAAATAATAATAAAGTATATAAAATAATAAAGCATATTATTATTATTAAATATAGAGGACACAATGGGTGCATTTTATAGTCATATACACAATAGAAGCCTTGTACTTACATCAACATGTGCCATTATATAGAATTCTGTACCTATGATGTTAGTGTCGCAGCAGTATATATACTGCTTTGGTACTGGAAACCCAATGTTGTAAAGTGCTTTTTGGATTTGATATTCACGATCAATCTAAAGGGGAAATTAAATTGAAGATGTGCATAAAAGTGAAAATCAGTCCAAAAAGCATTGTAACAGAAGCCTTTATTTAAACAAGGCATCTATCAAAATATTTTCCTCTCAAGTGGATGCATATTTGAAAGGAAAAGCTTATTTGCAAAAGAGCTTTTACTATGTAATTCTTCACATTTTTTATAATTATTATTACACTACCTGATGGGCTCCTTTCAAAAGCTGACCTGGTGGTTTCTTCCGCATTACAAACTTCTTGTCATCTTTTTCCAGCAGAAATGTTGGATTAGATTGGCCCATTCTGGAATACATTCACAAATTAAAACTAACCAAAACACATGAGTGGCAGGGGAATTAATCCACATTCAACTGGCCAAACCCCCTCCAGTTGTTTTTTTTTTAAAAATAATTATTTGAGCCTAATACAAGTTTCAGAACAGTTTAAAATGGTCTAAAATTGCCCAAATAATGTTTACAGACCAGCGGTCCTTTGCACCCTTCCCAGGGATTTTTCCCATTACCCAGCTACTACTTAGCAACATAATAAGAGCCTGCAGGTTCTTATTCTGTTACCTGTTCTTATATCTGTCTCTTACCTGTATTGCTGTATGTTTAATTTGCTGGAAGTCCTTGGGAAATCATCAACATTCTGCATGAGGTACCGATGCAAATTTTCCTTGTTAAACTTGTGTTCATTACGAATCTCTGAAAGCTCCATTTTCCTTTCTATTACTAGAAAAAAGTGAAGGTGTTTTCATTTGTTAATCAACCTTTTTATGCTTTGTACCAACAGAGGTGGAACGTTTTTGAAAGTATGGGGGGCATTTCATAAGGCAAAAAGTCCAGTATGCGAGCGAAGCAAGCATCTAAGCTGGGGCCTGGGGGGGGTCGCCAAGGGCCCCAGTGGGGGTCCAGTAGGCTAAGCTACGGCTATTTGACGAAGTTTGGTGAATTGTATTAGATATTTTATAGGCATCAAGCTACTTTAATCTGACTTCATAATTGTTGTATTTTCATGGGTTTTAACAACTTTTGAAGCAGGCAATTTTTTTAACAAAATGTTATTAGATCTTTACAGAGTTATAATTTAACTAGTACTGTAATTATGTAAATTCCTGCTAAAAACGTTTTTAAAACTCATTTGACAGTATCATCTTTTTAAAGAAAATGTTAACTACTAGATCTTAAAGCTATATTTTAACTTACTGTATTATAACAAATAAATTTACATATATGGTATGTTCACCAAGTGATAATCTAACAATATTAGGAAGCTAGAACGGAATCACTCATATACGTGACCATCCTACCTGGCGTTCTACGTTCTCTGAATGTGTAAATTTGGCCAAATTGCGTTCCAGAATCTACTCGATGACGTAACCTTAATGTTCTCACATGCGCAGATGACTTTTAGTGACGTCATTATGTTCACGTCCTACCGTCGTCGTGAAATCGAAAGTTCCCTAATTTCTATATGCCCTAAACATATAAATCCTTCTCAAAAACACATGGACTACTAAACTTCAATTTATTGATTAACTTTATTGCCATTAATTAAAAAAAAAATAATAACCCTCGAGGCATTTATTCGAGAGAGGCGAGGCTTTAGATCGAGCGCTTATTTGAAGGGGTTTTCATTTACTGTGGGGCATGTATTCAAATAAACTTAATATATATTATTATCAAATATCATGAATGATCAGAACATTTTGTTGTAAACGGAAACACAAACAAGAAAAGAATTTAATGAACGATAAATTCATCATTGACCATTATTTTTGTAATAAAATTGACAATCGAATAATGGAAAATTTATTAAGTAGGCCTAAAATAAAAATATTAATTATTATTCTTTCCATTCATATGGTCCTAGGCCTTGTTCTTCACTCTAGGCACCTCATTAACTAGGCTAGCCTACGTGGGGCTTAGGCACGAATTCATTAATAACAGGGAATTGTTATACCCAGGCCTGGCCTACTACTTGTACTGCTCTAGTAGTCTACCAGGCTAGCCTACACACCCTACTAACTACTACTTCACTACTACACTAGGTAGCCTACCTAGCTTAGGCCTACCTCCTAGCTAGGAGGCCATATAATATATAATTACTACTACTACTAGGGCCTAGCCCTATCCTATTATTAGTATTACTAATGTCTATGCCTAAGTTCCTATTTGCAATAAATAAACAAACGTTTACTTTGACTTTACTTGATTTAATTGCAATACTCATAAGCTTGCAGTCTGTAACCATGTGACCAGACCACAAAGTCTAAAGTTCGTACATGTGGATCGAAAGATCGATGATCAACAGATCGATCATCAACGTCAACAAAGTGCGAAGGTTTGGTTGGTACCGGAAGCTTACCCAATATATTCAGATGGCAAGCTCCCTCACGCAGCCCTTAGATACGCTACTGAATTTTTTCACTTCCTGACGAGGGTGCAGCTCTCCCCAAGGAGGTATAAAAATAATATTTTTATACCTGCCTGATAGTATTATGCCAAAAGAAAAAGCACATTGGTGATATTTATTCAAGATTTTATCAGATTAACAATTCATGGGTGTGTACAAAGGGGGGGGGGTCGGGAAAGTCGTACGTCACCCCCCCACCCCCAAAAAATTTCAAAGGTCCAAATTTTTCCAAAGACATTTTTTCCTAAGGCCTTTTTACAATGAATTATATGAAAAAGCATTGATGAGGCACCAGCAATGAGTCCAAAGACCTTGCCAATTTATCTATCTCAATTCCTGCAATTCTGAAACTGAGCCTGCCATCCGCTTCAAGCTGTGGAGCTGTAATCCATTTTCCTGTCTCCCACTGAAAATGTCCAAAAAATTATGATCACGACCCACCCAGACAAAACCGATACACCCCTGCAATTGAACAATGTCAACAATTATCTTGTATGTTGTTTTATCTACTTAGCTAAATAATATGAAATGGATCACACCTGTTATGTATGGCTGTGATCACGTTAAACACTTAGGCCCTATCCGACAAATACCTTTTAATAATCGTTCACTTAACAAATGCATGAATAAAATTTGAAAATTCAAATCAGATTATTTTCTTTATCAGTTGTAAGCAAATAAACACGATCGCAAACGTTTGTAGGATGAAAAGAGTAAACAAAAATTTAAACAATAGGCCTATTCATATAAATCTTGATTGTAAACATTTTAGCAATTTTAGTAGTAGGCCTATATATGAACAGACATCTCAATTACAATTAAAGAAGACACAACCGAATGGAAAACCCAAAATTGTATTCGCACACTAAATTTTACGACACTTGTAACTGGTGATTGAAAAAAAAAAATTGGCATGTTAGGCATATCTACAAAATATATTAACCTTGATGTTCATAATTCTGATACTAGGATTAGACTAGCATCACGTACGCTATATCATGAAGTTCCATTTATTATAAATAAATCATAATGAATGGTATGGTTCTGAACATTCGGAAAGTTTCAATGACAACCCCATATACAAAGGTGGTATAAAGCTTGAGGGCTTGGTCTACATTATCAAATTTCATAAAAAAAGCGTCACATAAAATGTGATGGAACATAGAGTTGAACAAGTTAAAAAAAATGTGATGTGCCCATCACACACAATTTGATAACATGTGACATGACGTCATCGTACCCATAGGCCTATATGGGCACACCATATTTTTCCCCACAAAATATGATAGTGTATGCAAATCTTAACACCAATTTCAGTGGTATGACACATAGCCAAAATTGTTGAAAATGAAGTCCAAGATGAAACTATTACATAGGGCCTATCTCAATGAAAATGATCTTATAAATGTACCAATATGTGTTTAGGAAGCACCACTCAACTGTTATGCCTTCATCTTCATCTTCTTGTGGATGCTGGGACCAGGGGCGTACGGTGAAAAATCTACAGGGGGGGGGGGTCGAAACGAAAGCGCAGGGGGAAAGCTGAACTCGGAGCAATTTAGCGAAACTTTCAGAATTCGCGGGGTGCGTTATTTGTGAGTGAAGCGAGCATAATTAAAGGGCACTTTCTTTAAAAGGGTGGGGGGGTCGACCGCACCATCGACCCCCCCACGGTACGCCCCTGGGGACGTATGCAGGATTTAGCTGTAGGGTGCATGAGAATCCACACAGTGGTGGACATTTAAATTTGAGTGAGGTATGGTTAGGCCTATGTTATTATTCCTGATGATGACATAATTAATGTTGAAATATTGAGTCCCGACACGATGGTGTGCATTTCGATACTTGGAGTACGTATTTACTATCGTATGGTTATGTATTACCGTTACCAGCAACAAATCTCTATTTTTACTAAAAATTCGAACAAATTTCAGGGTTTTTTGACTCCAGAGATATTTATGAAAATCATGTTGATAAAAATATATCTACCAAATACTGTATGAAAGTTTTGTCATACGTGTAAAGTGACAATTCTTGCATATTATGTATTTGTACACATAAGGATGCTCTGTGCAGACAAAGGGGTTTCCCCAAATAATGACGTGTCTTTTTACAATTGGTCAACTCGGGAATAAGAACGCACACAATTCAATCACACAGTCCTACTATTTTCTACTACAGGCGCACCTACTTGAGATCGAGGTCAGCAAGTGCTGGTTTTGTACAAGTAAAATTTGCTGATAATCTGTTACTACTACTACTACTACTACTGCTGGGAGATCCAGGTATTTTTAAGGTGGGTTATGTTTTAGGTAGAGAATGTTTTGCCACTTCTGTCATGTACGTTCATACTCCTTTATTTACACCAAGGACTTTAAGGCTGTGTGTACCTCTAGGAGTGGTGGTCTTCTTAGGTTGGCCTACTACTAGGCCTAGCTAGTGTAGTTGTTACAGAGAGAGCCATCCGTAGGGCAGGATTAGGCCCTAGGAGGCCTAGGCCAACTTCGGCTGCGAAAACTCTCGCCCGCGCACGTTCGAACGTAAAAAATGCTTTTTTTTTAAATTTCAGTGTACATACAATGGAATAAAGATTAATATAAAATATATGATTAGAAGTGATAAATAACAGAATTGTCGAAGTAAAGAATAATTTTCCATTGGGTTACCAGTAGGACAATTATTAAAAAAAAATAAAAATTCATTTTTCATCAAATATATATTCACTTCATTATTATTATTATTATTATTAGGTTACTATGTCCTGAGCTAATATGATGGCCTAAATTTTACCATGTACAGTATATTTTTATAAGTAACCTCTGCTAATTAGCATGCATCAGCTCTGTACAGCTATATAAACCATTTGTTATTTTTTAAAAATAAAAAATATGCCCTTACTGTTTATGCTAATTAATGTGTCAAGTACGCAAGAGATCAGTTTATAGAAGGTTAATTTAAAAAAAAGAGTACGCTTATCATCATTGCTTCATGGTGTTGCTGTTGCTGATTTTAGTCATATTTTTAGTGTGATTAATCACAAGTGACAGAAAACAAGAGTTGACGTCTTTCGGGAAATGAAAAATATATTTATTTCTTCTCGAGAATTTTAATCGTCCCTGCCACCTTTATTGTGATATCTTGCATAGTTTGACATATTAATTAGCAAAGGGTATATCTTGATAAAATAATAGTAATGGTTTATAGAGTACAGGGCTGATGTATATGACAATAAACTATAAATACGGTACTGCACTGTTAGCCCTACAGTGGATCAGGAAGCAGTCGACAAATTTATCTACATACAATGTTAATGAAATTGGCAGTACCGAAGTGAGTAGATATTTGATGAAATGTGTTATAAATAAAAATGTATTATAAATAAATATTTTTGAATCTTGAATCTGTTTTATATTTTACTCGTATCCCAATGGAAACTAATTCTTGAATTCGGATGAATTGGTCATCCTGAATCTATTTCTTTATAATATATTTTACATTAATGCAATCTCCTTTACTCAATTGTTGTACACTGAAATGTATACTATAAAAAACCGACAAACAAAACATCTACTAACAGAATGAATTCTGAACTGACAATTTTTCTCTTCTGGGTGAGTCACGCCCTCCTTTATTTCAATCCTATTTTGTAAGAACTATATATTTTTTTTAATTTTCCAATTTTGTAATTTAGCCTACATAATTTAAATAGATAACGCCTATTACATTACAATAACAATAATAAATAGTACAAGTTTGTATATAACATAATAAAGTTAGTAATTTTAACAACAAATACTATTTTTTCATTTTTCTTATTTACAATTTTGAAGTTCATTAGATTTTATGTGGTGTGCCTTGAATTTTTAAAATAATAGTCTCTCGATGAAATGTAACGTACGTATGTGAGTTTAGTATAAGCCCATTAAAGAGGTTATGGTTGAACGCGTTTCTGCAGACGTCAATGCGTTAGAAAATACTCAATGTCAACGCATTACCTTCTAAAGCATGGCGGCAAAAACCTGTTAAAAATAGTCAATTTTTACCATAATTCGGACAACTATAATTTTTATTGATTATCAAGTCGTTTTCTACTCTCGTTTGGTAATATTTTAATCATTTGCATTCATGTGGTCCTGTGTGGTGTCGTGTGGTCCATGTGGTATTTAGTAGGACAGCTGCAACAGGTTGCAAATTATATTTTTAAATGCGCAGTCTTAATAAGACGGACAATGTCGATGCTGTCAACTTGGGACTTGAAAGTTTGTTCAATGCTGCACAAGTCGTTTGTTACTTTTCTTTTGCAGCTTCTGATAATAGACAGACATCATCATAGATTATTTTGATAGGGGCCTAAATGTGCCTGAATATGACAATGCACAAGCCATTTATGATGGGCCATTTGATTATTTAGCTGTAAGCATCTGAGCGCTTTCTAGTCAAAACGGCAATAAACCAAAACTGCAAAATGGCAATGACCAAAATGGCAATAAACCAAAAATAAATAAAAATTTAAAATACACACAAAATGAGGCTATAGCAATTATTATTCATGGCATTGAAGTAAAAACTTTAAAAAACATAATTAATAGTAATAATAAAATAAATAACAGGCCTAATAACAATATACAGTAAATAGAAAGATTGTGGGAAACACAATATACAATATAAAAGCAGCAAATATTCAAATAAATAAAACTTTAAATACAGACAAGTGAGGCTAAAACAATTTGTCATAAAAGTAAAAAAATGTAAAAAACAATAATAATAGTAATAATAATAAAGGCAAATAAATATAAAAGCAGTAAACTTCCAAATAAATAAAAATTTGAAATACAATCAAAATGAGACATCTAAACAATTTTTCCCGAGCCTTGTGGCGCTTGCTCTTGGTATTGATTTTGTCCTTTGTATATTGTCGTTTTGGTACCGTATTTGTCATTGCCGTTTTTGTCTGTTGCTGTTTTGGTACTTATCATTGCCGTTTTGGTTTATTACTGTTTTGGTTATTGCCATTTTATTAATTGCTGTTTTAGTTTAATTAATTGCTGTTTTGACCTGCTACCCACTTGAACAATCATGTGTCTAAATTATATGTATTTTCTACATATTAATAGACTCTAAAATCAATTAAATAAACCTTTGAAACCAATAAGTTGTCATATTTTTGGGGTATTTCCCCTCCTGGACCATTTTAATAGTGTTTAGCGACACCCGATCACACCTACTTTGTTCTCGTTGACCACATCAGCCCTTCTGTTGGAGACCTTGAACCCCCATCGGGGAAGTCCTGGCCCCAAATGCATGCCACTAGAAATGTCTCTGTGACATGACTGACTTTGTAAACAACCTTAAAAGTTACTAACTCGACTTGGTTATAAATTTTTGGTTCTAGGATGGAACAGCTCAGAATAGCTTTCTGCATATTAATGTACTTCTCAGTTTCCGTAACAACAGCAGTTGAGCTTGATATTCCTGAAGGATTCAAATATGACCAAAATGGCTATGTAGCCTACTGTCCATGTATGGGTAAGTACCAACATTATGGTGCCATTAGATAGCTATTGTAAAACAAACTCATAAGAGAAGCTGAAATGTTTCCTGCCACCAGTGGTAGACTAAATACTTGCCACATTGCATATCAGAGGATACTTGCAGTCACTCTTGAAATTGCAAGGGGCCATGATGAATTATGTATATCTGTTCTTTATTAATCTTGATTCCCTTCCCTAATTTTTTGGTATGCTTTAAGAATAGAGTCCTGCTAGAATGCTTTAGGTTACATCAAAAATCTTGCTATTGATCTATCCTAGAGTTGCTGGTGCTGGTCTTTAAATTTGACTGTTAAACTCAACATTCATGTTTTGTGATTTACAGTTTAGGAAAATTACCAGATAAAGTATTGAATTTTGATGCAGAAGTTCAAATTGTTTTGTGTTGATGTCTGTTTTATCTGAAATTTGAAATGAAATAAAAACAATATTTGATCATTCATATGTTCATATAATAATTGCAGGTCGTTTTGGGAATCAGGCAGATCATTTCCTTGGAGTACTGGCATTTGCTAAGGGTCTGGATAGAACTTTAATCCTACCACCATGGATAGAGTATGCATATATGATGCCTAGTTCTGTAAGTCTACTATGCCTATGTTCTCACACGGCATCTAACGGTTAGCAAGATCCGGATCCTGCTAACCGTTAGCTGCCGTGTGTCCATGTGAGAAAATCCCGATCCGGATACCAATTCAATATGATGATCGAATCACTGGCCAATAAGAAACTGGAAATTGTAAATGCGTACATGTGATTGGTTGATGATAGAAATGCCCTCAACTTGCTAACCGATAGCACTTGCTAACAGTTAGCGGTATCCGGATACCGCTAACGGTTAGCACTAAGCGTTCGGGCGTTCTCACGCAGGTGCTAACGGTTAGCGCTAACGGTTAGCGCTAACGGTTAGCTCCTGATCCTTATAATAGGGCTCTCGTGAGAACCAGGCTTATTATTTTACTGAAATAATTACTACATTTAAATCGTTTAAAGGAATTTAGATATAAAAACATCTACTGTAGGTATGAAATTCTCTTTCTTAGGCTACCATGGAAAGGAGGAAAGAAGAATTATAAATGTTATTACAAGTAAAAATTTAAGCGAAGCCACTTATTTTAAGGAGAGAGAAATGTTAACACATCTGGGAACAATGGTGCATACCATTTTAGCGTTGTGCGAGTATGATGATGATGATGATAATGAACGATATATAATGAAATATTTAGTGTTAACAAAAGATATTACTACTAAAGTATTTCACAATTTAGTGTTTCAGTGGTCAGAAATTTTCTCCATGGTTGGGAAAATCCACTTCAGTGACAATAGTCTGTATGGTTAGATAAAGGTTTTCTCATCATGATTCTTGAAAATGATACAAGAAAAGATCAACGGTGAATCTCTTTGAAATCACTGTGTTTTTGTCTTATTTAATAAGCAATTATTAGAGCGCTCCACATAGTATGCTATAGGAAAATTATAGTACGAAGTTTATATTTTATGCTTGATAAAAATTTGTGAAGGCCCTGCAAGGCCTGAAGGAAATTTTTGAATGCATTAAATCTGACATAAGTATAATAATTTTCCGCTAGTGTAGGATGCATGCTCTACTAATTGCAATCGTAAACACATCAGCAGTACAGTACAGATACGATGAATAACTATTGTAATTTGTATTGAACAACTTGTTTGTCGTACTATTTTGATAGTTGTTCATCAAAGTAATAAGCATTTCTTAAAGCATTCGAGAGAGAATACGGTCACTGACTTTTTGGTCAGTGCAGACAGGTAAAAATTGTGCGATGATTTCATTGAACTACACTAGGATACTGTACAGCCTAGTAGGAGAAGCCACGGTGACCTCCTGCCTGGCCATAGGCCTACACTTAATTTCGTTCGTTGAGTCTGCAAAATACAACTAGAATATTCCTATTAAATGTTCAGTTTGTTTAGGTTAATAGGGTTCATTGATTTAAGGAATTCCTGTATTGTTCATACTTAATATTTAATTTGAAGTGGCATTCTTCGGGTTTTAAAACCTTGTTTTACAAAAGTAATTTTCAATTACGATTCAATTTTCATCGTGGTGTGCTGTATCTTCACAGTGACGAAAGAATTTTTTGCACACGAACCTAAAAATCAAGCCAAGTGACAACTAATTGAAAAATTATTGGATTGAATTATTGGATTGACTTATAAAAAGTAATTAGTGGATTCTGGTTTTCATTGCGATCTAATTTAATAAGCTTGCCAAAACATTTGCTGTGCATAGTCAGCCCATGGCTAGCTAACTTCTGGGAGACATTCCCTCTGCCAAACTGGTTATGTATTGATTCACTTTTTCTTTTAGATTCAAGTACCATTCGATAAATATTTTCAAGTGGAACCATTAAGAATGTTTCACAAAGTTATTACTATGGAAAAATTCATGGAAGAAATTGCTCCAGTGTTATGGCCACCTGGCAACAGAATAGGTAAGAAATAAAAAAATGTTTAATGACAAATATTCCAAATGCCTCATACTGTGAACTCAGAATGTTTACTGCCATGGATGGGTGGATACTCGCTTACTTAGTGTTGAATGTAGAACAGAGACACGTATACTTATATCTATAGTATACTTTTGTATTGTACTTATTACAATGGCCAAGGAAACAACTATTTAAAAAAAATAAAATACGAACAATGTCAGGCAGTGCTAAGGCATCTGAATCAAGGTCTTTTTAAAACCAAAATTTAATAATGAGTAACTTTATGGTTTATTTAGTAGTTATCATCCTTGTTAACATTAAAATTGTTTTTATTATGATAATGATTATGAAAATTGTAATTATAAAATTATTCTTTCCTCCATGGTTTAATACAGTAGTATAAGCATCAAGTACCTGTATCATCTTTATCACCATTGTCTTGTATGTCACCATTGAACATAAAGTCCAATAGGGGCCTGTTTCTCCTGCCAAAAAAATACCGTATAACGGTATTTTTAAAATACGGTATTTTTTTTTGCAGCAGAAATGGGGCTCATAAATATATAATATGCCCTATTTTATATACCATATAAAATTGCCCACTATTTTTTAGTTATTTTGAGTTATTCCAGTATTTTGCAACAGATACCGTATTTTTCATACCCCACTTCTGCTGCCTATAAAAATACCATATTTTGTATGACCCCTGACATGAGGTCAAGAGCCAACAAAGCATGGTACTGGTTGTGTTTTGATTTTTCTGTCAGCTTGTCAAAATAGATGAAACCAAAATTACAACGTTCTTTAAAGAAACCATGCTTATTGAGAAGAAAACTCACTACACATGTCAACCCAAACTTCCATCTCACGAAAGGCATTTTGTGTAATAAAGAGGACCTTTTAAGCAAAACCACCCAAGAAGTACTTTTAGCAGAAACGGGACACTGGATTTCAGATACCGTATTTTATACGGTATAAAATACTGTATTTTTAGAAACAGCAGCAGAAACAGGCCCTATAAGGAAATTGAAACATACTATTATAAAATTTCAATCAAATTATTTTAACCACATCAAAGTGTACTATATTACATTTTACATTTCAGGAATTTGTTTTCGATTTCGTGATGGTGATACATGTGCTATGAAAGAGGGCAATCCATTTGGCCCATTCTGGGACAACTTCAACATAGATTTTGATAACTACCGCAGCTATCAACCCCTGTCGTATTCCACAAATCAACACAATATACGAGAAAAGTGGGATGAACGGTAATATTTATATTTTTTCCATGTGGTCGTAATACAATTTGTCTGAATTTACCTTGCAACAGCCTGCGAAAATAATATGTAGCTTAAGTATAGCAACGTTTCCTTGCCAACAGTTAAATGTTCTGCATGCATATCTACTGTAACAAACTTATATCGATGACTACAATTACATGCTTACCACATGCAGTGCAATGTCAATGAACCCCCATTGTAAAAATCGGTGGTGAAAGGTATCCACCCTATAATTGTAGAATGCACTACAGTACAGTTGGGTTCCTCTTCTAGTGCCCATCATGCCTTGAGTCAGTCTCCTGGTAGCTGACAATGCTCCTCAGAAGACCACTGTAGTCAATCTTTGACTGTGTCATCCTCTTGATCTGCATCCAATTTTTATATCTTTGAATTTTATTAATCAAATAATTAATTGAAATGAAAAGTACACCTTCCGAAAAGCCTTTTTTTAATTTTTAGATGCAATTTAAAATAATAAATATTATAATATCTGTACTTGTTATTGGATGTGAAAGGAAGTTGTTTTGATAGAAATTCACTAAACATGATCTGGAAGATAGAATAATTTGAAAGAATAATACTACTCAACATGATTTTTTTAAATTCACAGCTTTCCTGTTTCTACCTTCCCGGTACTTGCTTTCTCTGGGGCACCAGCCTCCTTCCCAGTTACAGAAGAGAATCGTAAACTACACTATTTCTTACGATGGTCTGACTATATCAACAAGGAGGCAGATGATTTTATAGCAAAAGAATTATCAAATGGTCCATTTGTTGGTATTCACCTCAGACGAGGTTCTGACTTTGTAAGTCCTTAAAACTTTTCTCAATCTGAGTTTTTTTTTTGTCTTATTACAGTAAATACTAAAGTTTAGAGGGGAATGTTAAATTAAGAAGGAAATTCCCAAGCTTAAAAGGATATTTGCAATCATGATATTTCCCAGATGAAAAATTCCAGATATAAACTTTTTCAACAAGTAAATAAGGTTGGAGAAGGTAGGAGTGAGTTCTCTGAAATTACAATATATGAATACTGTACGTACAGGTCTCCCTCTAATTAAAGACCACTTCCAATTAAATACTACCTACAATTAAGGACCACTTTTCTGTGGTCCCAAATTAACAAATGTCTATAATATCTTTATTATCTTAATTAGAGACCAAAGGAAAGGAAACCTGGTCCCAAAAGTAGCCTTTAATTGAAGGGACACCTGTATTTACAAAAAATGATGGGACTCACTTTTAATGGTTCGTTTCACAATGTAATATAATACATTAACCTGGTCATTCAATTTTGGCACAACAGTTGTGACTCGGACTATCAATCTTGAAGTCTGGTATTCAAAACCATCGCTGTGAAAGTCAATAATGGCCCTGGTAAAAGTCGCCCTGAAAAAATGGCCTCAAATAACATGTAGGTAAAAATTGCCCTCAATGATAAAAATCGGTAATAAAATGGATTATGGAATTAAAAAGTATTTTAAATTCTACAAAAAAAAATTTAAAAAAATAAATAAATCAGTTAATCAATCAACTAATCATTTGTTTAAATACAATAATTTAATCAATTAACATATTACTTGTTTGTTTTTTTTAATAAAATAATTTAATCAGTCAGTGTATCATTTGTTATTTTGGAATAAAATAATTTATTTTTAAAAAGATGCTACCGTCAAATAAGTTTAGATTATGTTTTAATAAAATTAACAAAAGTTACTACTGTAGATCTTTTAGTTACAGTTTAACTTACTGTATTTATACACAGTATTTAGATTAATAAAAGTTGGTAAAGATGAGCATGTCACTATATTCAATAGATATTGTTTATGAGACAAGGCTCCTGTATTAATAAGCTGTAGTTTATTATTTTACTTAACATACTAATTACTACCAAATGAATAATGAAGATGCTCTATATCTATTCACTAAAATATTTATTCCCCGATAGACAAGATGATGATAACAGATATAAACAAAAAAATTACAACAGACCTAAAATCAGAGACTGGATAAAACAAAAAGCAAATTAAATTGCTGTATAAAGTTTCTCCGCTAATTTAAGGTAAAATACATAAACAAAATATATCTATGTTCTATAAAACTTAAGGAGCAAAAAATTCAATCAAAGCAGTTTTGAAAAATTTCTAAAAGTTTAATCTAGTGACCTGGAGTTAATAATGAAAAACTCAGTAATGCAAGATGAATAAATTATGACATCATCCATTAACGTTACAGTTAACATTGTGTAGCAAAAACAACCTATTAGTATGTAGTGACAAAAACAAAATGTAGTGGCGAAACAGGGAGTGCAGGGTCATTGGATTCACTTTTGGTACATAGTTATTATATGACGTCTGAATTTTAAATACGTTGGTGGCAACGTTTTTTCTTAATAATATCTCGCACATGGTTGTATCCCTTCAGAAAAAAGCTTGTGAACATGCAAGCTCTGGCCGCCAGTTTTTTGCATCACCGCAGTGCCTGGGGTTCAACAATGAACATGGCCAAATGTCCGATGAACTGTGTTATGCTGACTGGAAGACAATCAACAAACAACTTAAAAAGACAATCAGACTAATCAAAGCAACAGCAGTCTTTGTGGCAACTGATCATGATCCCTCTGTGAAGGAATTAAAAAACAACTTCAAGAATGTCAAGGCAAGTTTTTTTTTTTTTTAGTTTTGTTGGAGCTAAAGCTTACATATACCAGAATATAAATGTTGATATATACTGTTCACAAAATTTTAGTGATAGTAGATCATATTCTGTAATTATTCAGTACTGTAATATTCATTCATTCTGCTTTTATTTTCAAAATTGATTGCAGTACATAAAACTGAATTGCTCTAATTACCTTTGCAAACTTTTATATAGTTATATCTGTGTGTCTGTCATATATGACACTTAACCAATATATTGTATATTGTTGAGGTTGGTTTATTCCAGTCTATGTTTAAATCTCCCAGAATAATTAGTTCATCATCTGGTCATATGGTTTTAAGGATCTCGTCAAACTTTCCAACGAAATCTAGCTGATTATACAGTTCCAACAAGGATTGGGCGTGGTTTTGACAGAAAAGAGCTCTCAGAATAATTTGTAAGGCTCATTTCCATCATCCTTCTGGTACTGGTATGGGCATTTATAATGCACCTCTTGCGGTTATAGAGTGCAGGTTTTTTCCCTTGTCATTGGGTCCACATGCATGCTTCCCAGTCTTTATTTGTTAAACAAAAACACTGCACATTCACATAATACCAGACACAAAGAAAATGTATATAAAGTAGAACCTCGTTTTTACGTACCCCAGTTATACGAACCCTCGGTTTTACGTACGCCTCGTATCGACGATGATGTCATCAAAAACCCCGAAAATATTCAAAACAAACGGCCTTTTTCAGAGCAATCAAAGCAATAAGTAAAAAGACTATAACAATAAACTACTGTATAACAATAAACAAACCATAATGCAACGTATTTTCATTAAACAGCAACGTTGATTGAGTCTAATACCGGGTTGTTATAATCTAAAACCAAGTGAACTGAGTGAGATATGGTAAACCATGGAAAAACTTGTCTGGTCTAATTTTCTATACGAAGCTGAGTAGGCATAGTTTCGTACACGAACGCTAATTGGTTGGCTTGCCCAGTGCAGTGCACATGGTTTTGCTGTTTCATGTACACGAACGCTAATTGGTTGGCTCGCCCAGTGCACATGGGTTTAGTTTGTCTCAACAGGCCCAGACAACACCACAGCTCTGTTGTTTAGAATAAGTGGCCATCTATTTTTAATGTAGATTATGAAAGAATTACATTATGATGATTATAATTATTTTTTAACATACTTTACAATTTTCTTCTCCAGGTAAAAATTATTCAGCGAACACCGAGTGAGCCACACATTGACTTAGCAATTTTGGGCAAATCAGACCACTATATTGGCAACTGTGTTTCTTCATTTTCTGCTTTCGCTAAACGTGAGCGAGATGCAAGTAACAAGCCGTCATCCTTCTGGGCATTTAATGAAAAAGGACATGTCAAAAATAAGACTGAACTGTAGTCACATCACATAATAAATAGTGTTAAACACACCTAAGTAGATCCTTGTCATTGATTAGTAGATTTTGTTTCATGTTACATTAGGTATTTACACCAGTTAATGGCAAAACAACAGTGCATTTTTTGATTTACATCACTTTAACAAACATCTAAATGGATAAATCCAAGGTCGCCTTTCCACTCAGGCATGAAATTATCGATTAAATAGTTCAAAATGCTGACATAGTTTTTAAACAAAAAGCGAGTGTTGTACTTGCCGTCTGTATTCACTGAAAAAATTGGAGTATACAAATTGCATGAAAGGAAACTACTAAATGTCCTATGTCCTGTGCAGCCTGTGTTGTTATACAAATAATGAATGTTTATGAGTGCAATGGGAAGAATATTTTCAAGAGTTGAAAGATTGACTGTTCCATTCAACAAAGCAGAGCCAAGTTGAATGGAACAGTCAATTTTTCAATGAATGAAAATATTCTTTCCATTGGGCGAATAAAAACATTCATTATTTGTTTTATAACACACCTAAAATAGATTTTTTGTCATTTGATATTTTATGCAAACAATCTACCTTTTTTCTGAATGGAGATTCTTGTTATTTGATATTTTATGAAAAAATCTACCCTTTTTCTCAGTAGAACAATCCCATGTCTTTTGACCAGTCAAAAGATTGTATTAGGTTGAAGTCATATCGCTTTCTAGGCACCGTGCAATGGGCAAAAACGGATGGAAAGAAAATACATGGATGGAAATAAATTTCTTTGGGGATGACAAAATGTGGTAAATATACAATGTCATACGAAATCCACCATTCAAATTACAAGGATCTATTGAGGTGTGTTATAAATTTTATTTTTTTTATATTATTCAATTTCCAAGACAAAAAACAAAGCAAATAAACAAAACTACAATAGTTCCTGCGGGTGACCAAAATAAAACAATTCAAAGAATTGCAGTGTCGAGTGGCTTTCCCAACTAAAAGTACATAAAAAGAACCAAAGCCGACCCACCCGTTGAGTATCTCCACAAGACGAGTCAACAACTTGTGGCATATGGAACCCATTCCAATCAACTGGGACCCATTAATGAAATGCCGCACACCCTGCCAATGTCCCAGTGGACCAGACCAGATTTCCCACTACCACATCCAAAGATCCCTTTTAAATAAATAGAAATATAAAATTCTTCTATTTGCAATGTTGCATTTATCCTATGAATATGCTTTTCTATTTTGTATTTTGATTTGATAAAACTAATTAAACCATTCACAATTGGATTTTGTTTTATTCTACGTTGAAAATAAATATATTGTTTACCTATAAGTATCATGTGATTTAAAGCATTGTATGAGTTGAAATATTGACTATTCCATTAAATGGAACAGTCTGTCTTTCAAGTCATAAAAATATTCTTCCATTGCACTCTTTCATCATTTTGTCTACTATACATGAAACGGTACAATGTATCAATATTTTGTAAGGTCAAGATTTTCAGCATTTAAAGACAGTGTGACTATGTGTGTCTTAGTTGTGTTAGTGATAAAAACAATGTACAGTTTTTGTGTCTACTGGCCTGGTGTAGACACATGGACACATAGGCTATCATCTGGCAATTGACATTGTAAGAGTAAATCTGGTGAAGGAATGATGAGATGGGTCTGGGGATGGGTCATAAGTTAAAAATCACGAACCCTCGACGATTTGAAATGTACAATATCAATATAACAATGAGCCAAATATACTTTCCAATGTGAATAAATTGTACTTTTGAACCATAAAAGGGCTTCTATACTCAACCTATATGCTGTTTGGAAGACTGAAAATGCACACTAACTAATGCTTGCAGAACCATGTTTTTCAGTTCTTTCACCATTTTTTTGCTTAATAATAATGTGATAAGTGGTACTGAATGAACAGAGTTGAGCATTTGGTTAATTGCTATGAAGATGATCTTTTTCTGTGCATAAATTTATCTGTAAACAAAACATTTGTGACACATGGTATATTATAGAAATATATGGATTTATGCTCATATTGGTACATCTTGCAATGTCGATCACTGCTTCAGATATCACCTGCTGCAGGAAGATCCGAATCTGCCTTTTGTGTCCCAACTTTATAAAACTAAACCATTTTATATGCAATGTGCTAAAGAACACAACTAAATTTTATGTCAAGTACAAGAATCTAGGATTCCATATATATTTTCTTATAATAATTTACAATTAAAATGATATGTTTCTACATGAATGAGTTTATGTTTATCTGTGGTGCTCACTGAAATATCTACACATATAACAGAATTTCAGGCAATGATATACAGACTCGTACGTTCTTTACATAAATCAATTATTTATTGGACCCAAATTTGATACAGTGGCACTCATACAATGTATGGTGAATCCAAGAAACATACAAATATAAAAACATACAGAAAAAGAAAATTAACTTAAAAATTTAAAATTGCAAAATGCAAATAAAAACTGAATAGTTTACTGTAAAATTACCAGGTAAATAAACTTAACTACATTACATTCAATACTTAGTATGTGAACTACTTCCCTTAGAAGGAAATTTGAGGTTAGAAATATACTGTCAGTGTAATATAGATTTGATTACAAATCTCTTATATAATTTCCTGGACAGCGCCACCAACGAGTAAGTTAATTAATTCGAAGAAAAAGAAATCATTTAACGTGCCCTAAGCGCAATAAAAAGGAAGTAACCCAAATTTAGGACCTGGAACCCAGGCCAGCAAGTTATAGCTATACACCCCTAACTTCACTCCCGCATACTCACACTTGTCTCTTATACACATCTAGATGTGTATAAGAGACAGATATATATATTCCCCCTGTGACATTTTTCCCCTGGACTGTTTTTCCCCCAGGACATTCCCTCCCCTCCCACCCTCTTTATAAAACACATTTAAATACAAGGAATACATCAAGATTTATATCATCTCTTTTATTAAATCTATATTAAATGAACTGCACAAGTAATAACTATATCTAACTGAATTACAATTTAGTGTACGCGCTATCTACCCGATTATTAGAATTTGGCCGTTAGATGGCGTGTATTTGCCCGAGAAGCATGTGTACCGAATGCGATTTTTTTTTCCGTACGAAACATTTACATGAAACTCCACTCGGGCCGTCTCGGCTGAATCGACCCGAAAATCTCATTGCAGAATTCAGGAGGTCAAAAGGTCAACACATAAACGTCTACAGTACAACTTCTGAGAGAACGTCGCTGTCTAATTTTTTTAAATACATTGATGTTACCATGTTAATACCAATGGGTCTTTTAAAATGACATATAATATTTGATTAAGCTCCACGAGTAATGAAAAGTGTTATTTTAACTTGAGTTACATACTATGACAATTTTAATTTTTTAGTTTGGCCTGGGTTTTGCATAATTACCTAGGCCTACTAAAAACGCTTCTGGGAAAAGCACAGAAGGAAAAGCGCGTTTTTCTTCATCACTGATCAAATGAAACAGAGTGACAGTTATTTTCAAATTAAGAGAAGAGCTGAGAATAGGCAGCCATAAAATACTGGATGCCATAAGACCTGCCAAAATGGCAGAGCACCAAATGAATGAAAAATGAGCTAGTTTTATTAATATTAGGCATAGCAATCGGCAGGTTCTTGATTACAAGGCTAGACCAAGTTAATTACATATGTAATGCCGAAATAATAATAATAATAATTATTATTATAATAATAAGTATTATTATTATTACCTGTACGTTAAGGGGAACTTAGACAATGGAGGAATTAGAAAACAATTTAAAAAACGACGTTAAGGGGAAATAACACAAAAGATAATCCCCTTGGCTAGTTATTACAGGCCTAGTAAATAGTATCTGTAGGTTCTTCATTACAAGTCTTAGGCCAAGGTAATTAATGCTAAAATGATTATTATTATTATTATTATTATTAATTATTATTATTACCTGTACCTTAAGGGGAACTTAGACAATGGAGGAATTAGAAAACAATTAAAAAAAAAAAACGACGTTAAGGGGAAATAACAAAAGATATTCCCCTTGGGCGATTATTATTTATAGGCCTAGTAAATAGTACAGTATCTGCAGGTTCTTCATTACAAGGCTTAGGCCAAGGTAATTAATGCTTAAATTATTATTATTATTATTTAACATTAATTACATTACAATGATAGTTTGGACAAGTTCAATAACACCGGAATGGTACTATATTATTTATTTAATAATATTTCTCTTATGTGCTCTATTTTTCAATTCATGCTTCAATTTTGTCCCATTTTTTCCCCAAAAATTTCAGTCTATGTCAGTATGTGAAGGTGCCTGTTGTGTCAGCCTATGACCCTAGGCCTAGTTTAAGGAGGGCCCAGGTAAGACCTCATCTCAGCCTGTAGTTAGGCCTATAGTTTATCCTCTTTCTCTCTAGCATTTGGTATAACT